TGGTTTGATTCAACATTTGTATTTACTAACCCTAATGTGGATAAAGGTTCTGAGATTAAACATACATCATCTAATGCATCATCATCTTCTTTTTCCAGACACATTGTCTAGAAATTTATTCATGATATCGTCCATTTCATCAATTTGGACATTTTCATTTGTTTAAGAAAAAGAGTTTGTAATGGAATCTAGAGTTCCTTGTCTGAACATGGCTATAACAGCCTGATGATGATTCCATTCTTCAGGAGTAATGTCATCATCTTCTTCTTCCTCATATTCTACGATATTCATCATAGAAATATTTTCGTTATCAGGAATAGTAGAAGTACTATGCCTGTTTTATGTTGACCTTTCTTATTCTAGGTCTAGGTGGGGTATGTTTCTATAGTCTGTAAAACTCAGACTAAGTCCTCTAAATATGTTATGTAATATAGCAGATGAAGGAGCAGTGATGAGATTATTCTTCTTCCCTTGGTAAGTATGTTTGCCACAAGTGACCTTCATTTCTTCTTGTGAAGGTTTGGGCTGGAAGAAATTGTGTATCATGAGAGTTAATAGCTTCTTCTAATGATCTTGTGCCTATCCTATACATGAAAGAAATATGATTACTTATTCTTCCTATGAAGGTGATGTTTAAGTGTAGATTTTCACCCATTCAATTGGGTCCAGAACCTATTGTTTGTACTTCTAGACTTATATGATTTACAAAATCTGGAAATGTTAATGTAAAATTTAGTGCAAGGTATATCAGTTAAATCTACCTCTAAAATACCTATCATACTTTGTGAATCATTATTTTAGAATCTAGAGTCATGTAGAACTATAAAAGCTTTGGCTTCAATCATGTGTCTAGCTAAGGATCTTACTCCAATGGTAATCAGACTCATATGGACATATCTTCCTTGCTGGTTTAGTAGTTGCCTACCAGTTTTTTGAGATATTAATGGAATTATCTCATAAGTATTGTTTGGAAGATGAAAATTTTCTATTCTCCTATATCGGTAAAGACTAGTTCTTTCAGAACTTAGCCAACCTATATTGTATAGCTGTCTAGGATTTTAAGGAATCTATCCTTGAATTTGATCATATTTCAGTGTTTTGTTGTATGTCTACTAAGTCTTGTAAACGCCTGACGTTAGTAGTTCTTTGTCTATTCAGGAATCTATCTATAATTCCTAGATATTGTATAAGGTTTTGACTCCTAGTTTGATGTTCCCTTAATCTTCTGGGGATTTCGGAAAATCTGTGTTTGATTAGAATCGGTTGTATTATTTATATCAAAATTTTCTATTTGTGTTTTTGTGGAATTATTAGGTTGTGTAAACATATCTAACTCCTAATATTATTTGTAGAAGAAGAACTTTTTCTTTGTTGGTCTGATTTTTGGGACCATTTGTCTCTTTCTTTATTGTCACTTTAACAAATTTCTGGGTATTTTTTTTGGAAATTATTTTGGTATATGTGTTTATTCCTAAAGATAATTTAGAAACCTAATTTATAAGATCGTCTATTTCATTAAACAGGTTTGTCTTTTGTTTAAATTTAATAAGCATGTTAACTTTCTAGAAACTTCTTCTAGAAGTGCAATTTTTGTGTTGTTTTGTCTAATAAGGACTATGTGTGTATAGTCTACTTCTGAAATAGACTTTTTATATCCCACTGGAGAAGATTTTGTGATTTGTTCGACAGCTGCTAGAGCGGTTTTGTAGTCGTTGCCTTGAAAAGGTTGTATGGTATCCATTAAATTTTTAAATATATTTAAAAAGGGCATAAGAGCAAGAAAACAAGAAAAGAGTAAATAAAGCAGGCAGCAGAAAATAGAGCAACAAATGAGTGGGGAAAGGGGATCTACGAAATACACTATAAAGTAATATTTATAAAAGAATATAGATAATCATAAGACTTAAAAAACTTTTTTGTTATATTGGTTCATTTAACAGTTATTTAGAACAAATATACAAGAGATTAAACAGATATACAAGAAAATATATTTGCAAAGAGTGTCGCAATATGCAAAGTATTCCTCAACCCACAAAGGTAGATCCGTGAGACTTATTGGTTCTCATGACTCTCCTGGCCTTAACTTTCCCAATCTACAAAGGGTATCCTAGTGAATGCAAATCACTTCAATTGCAAATATATTCAAAGGTATCCAAGGATTTCTCGCTCTAATACCAGAAAGAAGGGGAACGAGGGAAAAAGGAAATAGGGATATAAGTTATAACTCTTTATCTCTTTTGTAGGTCAATGTGATTACTTAGTTTTAAAAGAACCTGAAACTAAACTAGCTAAAATGAAGACTATCTGAGATAAAGTGAGTTATAACCATTAGGTTCATGATATGATTATGAGATGTTGAATCTGGCATAACCGATTAGACATCTCCTCATAAGTTTATATGAACATGAAATATAAATATACAGAACAAAACAAATAATAAATTCAACATAAGATTACGAGATGTTAAATCTGGCATAACTGATTAAACATTTCCTCATAAACTTATATGAACACGAAAATAGCTATACAAAAACTTTTAAGTCTTTAAATGATTATCGCATCTTTTAATAAATATTACTTAAGACATCGAAGACAGTCTAAAAAAAATTAAAAATATTGTAATGATTAAATAATGTTATCATTTTTTATGTAAAATAAAAAATTAAACATGTTTTTGCATTTTAAGTAAGGCTATAAAAAAATGGATCGAAAAGTTAAATAGATTTTTGTTTTTTAAAGGTTGAATTTCATCTATATTTTTAATAAGTTTGAATTTTTTGCGCTAACAAACTAATAAATTAATTTTGATTGATTAAAAATTTTAAAAAATTATTAATGTATTTATATCAAAAAATTTATTTAAACAAAAATAAAAAAATATTTTGATTATATAAATTACTTTTTAGATTTATAAAAATAATTTAAATTATAATTTAAGGTGTTTTTAACTATTAATATTTTTTAAATATTGAAATTGATTTTAAAGATAAAAATAAATTAATTATAGATTCAAAGAGACAAGTGATTAACAATATCCATTACATGACTATGAAAGATAAATAAAATTGGAGAAATTTTTTTGGTTAATTATCATTTTGTGTAATAACAAGAATAGTATAAAGAAATGCATCTTTACAACCAGAGAAATATTAATATTTTAAATTTAAATGTTCAATTTTAGAAAAAAAAAATTTAACACTTTTTCCACATCTTATATCTCTTATATACTCAAGCATCATATCTCCTTAGAAGTCTGAAGGGGATATGACTCCCCAAAGTTTTATAACTCTCATGTAATTTATAATCTTGGTCCCCAAGTTTAATAAACATTTAATATATTTATTTTTTTATTTACAATTTTATCCTCTCGATCCCTCCTCAGTTTTGTAACTCATAATTTATGATTTTGTCCTCCTCAAACTTAATGATTATTTAATATATTTAAGTGTATATCTACAATTTTATCTTTTTACTCTTTCATCTTCTTTCTTCTTTTATATTTATTTATTATTTATTAATAATATATTATTTGACCCAGAGCATACACTATATACTTTCTTTTCTTTCAAATATCATTAAACCAAGCTTAATCGATCTTTATTTGAATTCTAAATTTGTACATACTCGTTAAAATTAATAAATCTGAAATATGGTGATGATATGTATTAATTAAAAAATATTTTTTATTATTTAATATATTTGTACAAATAAAATAGAATCCTCGTATTGATAAAAATAAATTACAATTCTATTTTCATGACTACCGTTGTTTGTTTAGTAGTGATGAGATATATTTCACCTCACTGTAGAAATATACATCATTCTGTAGTAAGATTTGAAGACTTGATATGGATGTTTTGAATTTAAACTAATAATCCAACTAGTTATACCAATATTTACTATATATTAATAGGATATATTGATTTTGTAATAAAAAAGTATTATTAATTTAATGTGTTGTATTGCAATCATGATTATGTTATTGTTAGTTGCTTGTTTTCATTTTTCTTTTAATCTTTATATAAATTTCAAAAAAATTTGCACCATTCCTAATATACATGTAAACAATTATCATTATTAGTGGAACGCATGTGCTAAAATGTATGCATCTGTATATATATTTTTTTATAATTAATAATTTTAAAATACTATTTTAAATTTTATTTTACTTTTTTCTTTTCATTTCATTTCATTTTTAAATACTTTTTTTTTTCACTAACTACATATCATATTTTTACCATTTAAATATATATATATATATATATATATATATATATATATATATATAATTGATATTTTTATAACACTTATTTTTTTCATTTTTATATAAAAAAATTATTACAAAAGATAATTTCTCTCCTTTCTTTTTTTTTAATTGACTTTCTGAGTTTATGAATAGGACATCCCTTGTCTGCGAACAGTTTCGGGCATGGGAACATGCTAATACTCATTTTTTTATTTATTTAATCTTTTTTTAAGATAAAGAAACTTCTCCCAAACATTTTTTTTTCACTTTATCCTATCTAAAAAACAAATACACATTTATTAACTTATAGGTGAAACATTTAATCTCTTGAAGTTTTAGCTTTTTTTTTTTTTTCTTTTTTCAAAGATGTGGTAATATATTATGGGCTTTAAACAACCCAAGTGTATTGTTATAATGTGAGCAAAGTTAAAGTAAATTCATAGATTTAGAAGTTATATGAGAAAAATATTAATGTGAATAGTATTTTTTTTACGTTGATTATTTATTACTTCATCAAACATTTACCTTACAAGCATTAGATTTATTTTTACAATTCAGATCAAATTTCTGAATTATGGAACTCAAGGATCCATTTATAAAAACTAAAAACATATGTTGAAGAGAATAAATATGAAAGAAAAGGAGTAGATGATCCAAAAATGGTCAATTTAGGCTTACCTAAATACCGACAAGTAGTGATAGGAGGTAGAAGAAGGAAAGGAAGCGTATCATGTTGGTTTTCACCACATGCACTATGCTTGATGCTTTACTACCGCAAAAGAAAGTGCACAGAAGGGATGGTGTTTGGTTGAAGAGGAGTTGTTTTGAGGAAGAGAAAAGGAAAGGAAATAGAAGAGGATTTATGGTGGGGTCGAAGGAATGAGAAGTTATGTAAAGGGGTAAACTGAAGTAAACGTGTTGAGTTGATATTTGTGTGGTAGTGGAGGTGATTCCTTGGGTCTGGGGTATGGCATCCCGTTCCTATCGCAGGATTGCTTCCTATCTTAATCCAAATTCTCCATTTCGTGATATCAGGACTTACGCGTGGCACTTCCAACCTGTGGTGTCTGCGAGGACCACAAAATAGAAAGAAATTCACACTGAGGTAACATTCCCTCCTCTCTATCACTTTGTCACTAAGATGCTTGGCATCTGCATCACCCCAACATGGAAACCGGAATCTGCCTCCCTCTCCGCATTCATTTCTTTGTTAACTCCGTATCAACCCTACAACCACAATTTAACAAGTCATTAACCAATATTATCTCCCATCTTATTGCCTAAAATCCTTCTTTATTATACTCTCCTTTTCCAACGCCATTTTTTCATATAATCTTTTGTTTTAAGGTTTTCATTTTCCACTTACCCTGTAACTGGTAAGAGATATCCATGTTTTATCCCAGATGAATGTTTATTTTTGACAAATTATACTGAAAAGGTAAGTCACTACTACTTGACACAGAATCTACTGTGTATCTTTTCGGCCTTGCCCACAAACCAATAACAAGGCTAGAAAACCTGCGACTCCCTCACGTCCACAACGCTCTGATGTTAGTGCCGAAGGTGATTGATTGATACAAATTGCACTGTGAGTTCAGGTTTCAATGGAGGGAATTCATAGCATACCAATTCGTTCATACTCTAAGTGGTACTATTTATGCAAAACTTCAAAGTCTTGTGATTGATAAGTAAAAAAACAAGTCTAAATCATCAATAAATTACCCATTAAAATAATTTACCATATTTCCATCGCAATAACTTTTTGCTCACAAAATGCCAAATGATCTCCAATTTTGTAGTTCAAATTGTGAGGAATTAACCTGAATAACTTTTATGACTGGTGATAAATTTTGTTATAAAACCATCGTAAGTTTACGAGTCCGTTACACCATTACAATGCATCACCAAACTGCTGCAAAAATTCATAAATCATTGCAGATAAGAAAAGCCCATTATGAAATTGGACCACTAAAATATCATAACACCTAAAACAAAGGTTTTATGGGACCATTGATTCAAAAACTAATTTGGCATAAATTTACACTTCACCTATAGCATATAGTTGTAAGGGACAATGTCAACCATCAAAAACACCAAGTTGCAATGCTCATCTTTCTCAGACCTAAAAGTGTTGAATTTCCCATATCCTCCATGCAATTTCAATCTGGTGTTTTTTTCGTACATCCCAAAAATATCAGCTTATACACTCTTTTACTGTGAAAAGATTAATCCAAGATGTAAAACCTTCTTTTTATATAATCTAATCCAAAATTTACAATATCATGTCTGCCTTCATTATGGAAAAGATCATTTTAAATTAAGAATTTGCATTCCAGTTTGCGTGATCCAAAAAAATGGATATTTAACCTTTAAATTATTGGAATGTACGAAGAAATAACCTTCAACTCTTAACGTCTTCGTTCATTGGATATTTTTGGAGGCCCATGTGCCGCTGCAAGCCACTTGTGAATTATGGTATTTTCCAGCAGTATAGCTTGCATCTTCCTTGTTCAACATTAGGAAGGACCGTCTCCCTTGTACATAAGGGGATCCAAGAGTTTAGGCATGGTCACAAATGTTATCCGTACAGTAAAAGCTTTTCTTCAATATTAAAAGCAAATAAAATGCTAACATGATTAATAAAACACAGAGGCATAGACCTGCTACATGTTGTGCTTGAAGCTATTTCCACACCCAAGTTAGGAGAAAAACTAAAGAACGATAGCAATTAGAACTTATCACTTCAACAGAAACGCATTTAGCACAGGTCGGGAAGCGAAAAATGGGATAACAAAGGGGTTCATCTAAAGTGAATTTTGACTTCAAAGTAAGAGGGACGCTTCAGCAAACTTCAGGCCATTGGCCTGAATATTTTGATCTACAACATGAACAATAGCCTAGATATAATTCTTAAACTAGACCCCTGTACGGGGCGGGAAGAACTATCATCATCTATAAAAAAAAATAATGTACCGAGATTATCTATAAAAAAAAACGTGTTTTTCTCAGATTGCTCTCCTTTTTCACCCTGCCTGTGATACAGTGTACCACTGATGTCACCAGTGCACGTCATTTCAGTTTATAATGATCATTTGTATACGTAGAGGAAGAAAAGGGTCCAACTCCTCCTACCAAACATTATACTGAATAAGGATGGGATGGGAGGCCAGGAAAGCTGTATAAAAAAAAAAAATTAACTTCTTGGCAAGGAAATATGACCTTCGTAAGAGGGAAATATTAGAAACAATATCCAACACCAAGCACTTGAGTTTTGACACCAATAGGAAATCTGACACAGTTCATATCAATAGATATGAGCTTAACGATGAAGAAAAACAAAGGAAAAAATGCAAAAATACCCCCATAAAGGGATTAAGATCAGAATACAATGCATGAAAGAACGAGGCTGTACCATTCCAATAGTGATAAACTGAATAAAAATGAAGTAAAAAATTAGGAGGATAGAGCTTATCTGTGGTGCGTGAGTGCATTTTATTAGACAATAGAGCAAAGGAAACCAACAACAGTGCTCTAGCACAACAGAGTCAAAGCAACCAATTAAATGATTTAGATATTCAAGAATATAAATAATCCTTGATTTAACACAGTCTGAAAATGTTTGTACTCAGATTAAGTGGTAAAGCTTTTATTGTTAGATTTTGCTTCACTTGTAAACTCCAGTTTTGTTAGAGCAATTATTCTAAGTCCAAAGGTTATGTGAATTTCTGTAAGTCTTCATGGTATAGTCAGTTTTGCATTATGCAATGATTTAAATAATATCCAAACAAGCAAAGCTCAAAATCAGAAAATCATAGCTTTTAAAGGTAAACAAATATATCAGGCTTGCATATGAAGGTTTCGATTACATATTAAGATTTTAAAGAGAAGTAGGAGAATTATTTTTAAAAGGTTTTTCAATGATGGGCAATGGTCAACTTTTGAAGGACTAGAAATTCAAGAGAACTAACAAAATTTGGTTTACTAGTTTAAAATTCAGGTTGGAGAGGTACAAGAAATCCAGAAAAAGGATGGATAATGATAACGTTATTGATACTGATGGTATTTCTCTTGGGGTTTGGAAATGTGTAGGAGAACAAGGTATTGTTTGAGGCACTAATCTATTTAATGGGATTATGAGATCTAAGAAAATGTTAGATGAGTGGAACAGGAGAACTTTGGTTCCTATATTTAAGAACAATGGAGATATTCATAATTGTGTAAATTACATACAAATAAACTGAGTCACATTATGAGATTATGGAAAAAGATGCTTGAGCATGGATTAAAAGAAGAATCTGGCTTTACAGAGAATCAGTTTAATTTTATGCCAAAAAGTCTACAACAAAAATCATTTTATCTTAACAAGAGTTGATGAAAAGATAGTTAAGTTATAAAAAAAAAAGAGTATAAAAAAAAAAACTTAGAGATGGCTTTTATTGACTTGGAAAAAGTATATGATCGGTGTCAAGAGAAGCGTTGTAAAAGATTTTGACTTTGGAAAATGAAAGCTTATCGCATGGCTTATATTAGCAAGATATACAAGACAGGTGTGATGGAACAACCATTAATGTGATAATTCCAAGAGATCCAAAGACTTTCTTGCAAGGATTGGATTACATCAGGACTCAAGGTTGGATGTGCATACTAGGGACATACAAGAGAAATGATTGCATGCCTTTTTACAAATGATATTGTTTTAATTGAGAAATCAAAGGATGAGGTTAACTCTAAACTGGCACTTTGGCAACAAACTTAGGAACCAAAGGACTTTATTTGGGTAGGAGTATAATAGAGTCTATGCATTGCAATATTAGCAAGAAGCAAGAAAAGAGAGTTGGGATAAAAATAAAAGATATTATACCACAATTTCTAAGTTTAAGTAGTTGTGATCAATACCACAAAATGATGTAGAAGTTCATTAAGATGTCACACAAAGGATATATATATAAGGCTTTAATTGTAAAAGTTCCTAGCCATACGGATGGGGTCACTGCTCAGTTGTAAAAACATTCCTTAAACCAGGAATACTTATAACTGGTAACAATGCATTAACAATACTTGTTCTCCACGTCATAACACCATCTCTCTCCTCACCATTTAGCCAGTGTCATCATGATGTATATGAAGAAAGTAAGGCAAAAGTTGGCAATAAAGCGTATGATAATGTTATGTGTCATGATCCAGTTCCATCCAGAGAAATACCAACGTTTAAAAAATCAAAAGGTACTACTATTAATTCATGATTCACTGGTCCAACTGTAATTGAAAAAGTAATAATTGATCATGTTTCATGTCCTGTAAGATGAGAAGTTGTCCACAAGAGGCTAAACAATAACAATTAATTAAAGGGGCACTAGACCTTAATCTGGCTAAATAAATATTTCAGATTGAATTAAAAATTTAAGGGGGGGAAACCAGATCAACTCATTCACAGATTCGTTGATGATTTGAGGTTTTTGGGTTGAATGAACCTGACACTTGTCTAGTAAACCACTTCCTTGGTTGAACCAGTCCAGTCTGGTTTCTTAATCAAAGAGAGATACTAATACAACTCCTGTGAGTGATAGCGAAAGGAAATGATGTAGAGAAATTTATCAAAATTTGGAATGAGAGGAACATTCTATCAACCATCGGTTAAACTACAGTGGAAAGCACAAACTTTGTTAGGTCTCACACCTCATTTAACAAGTCTCAACTGATTTAGAAGTGAGATCTACCAAAATTTATAATTTCCTATAAATTTCAACCAATAGTAGAGAAAATGTAGCCAGCACTCCTCAATCAAAATATATAAAAAAATTAAAAAAGTTATGCAAAAAGAAAAGCAAGCAAGAAGGAAGCCTCCACCATGATGCTGATGTGTACACTACAAATTAGTTGAACAGAGCTAATAGTGGTGAAAGAATGTATCACTTGGCAAACCAATTTTCAATGCAAGCTTTGTTATCATTTGTGTAAAACTAGAAACTCTTCAAAAATTAAAATATACTATGGTATTCAGAAGAGCTTGTTCCTTTCTCAGCGGAGTAAGGATGTTTAATCAAATACCCGCTTCTCAATTACAGGCCAAGGGCATAACAGAAAGAAACAAAACAACCAATTCACGAATAAATCAAACATTGAATACTATACTAAGAGGAATTCTAAAATTGAACATGAAATTGAGAATGCTTGTGCGACCTAACCAACCTCGATCTTCTCGCGGAAGAACAGAACACAACTAGAGGCAGTAAGAGTGGAAGGAAGAGTGGCAATGAGGACCCATCGGCGGATTCATTGCCAGCGATTATGCCCTTGTACTTCTCCCTTCCGGTTTGGCGGGGCACTGAGACATTTACGGCGGAAAAGAAACAAAAGGATTAAATTGAATGGCTATAGGGATGGTGATCACATTTTGAAGTCCATTTTTCCAAATTTTGTTCCACGAAACATTCCACCATTTTTTTCTGTTGAAGAAATCGATTCTGGCAAATTGAGGTTCGTGGTAACGTAACATACACCATGCTTCTCCATGTTTTCATTTTTCAGATATCCTTAAAAAAAGTACTTATATCAAGTTTATTTGTAAAACGTTTTCAAAGAAAATTCATAATTCATAATTTACCGAGAAGTAAAAAAGTCATATCTTTGAGTTGTCTAATTAAATATCTGTAAATAATTAAAAATTAAGGACTAAAATTGCGATAGAAGAATTAAAAAATATTGATTTAATCTAAGAACAAAAATTACAAGAAAAACCATTAAGAATCAAAATTACAAATTTTATAAAGAATTAAAATTAAAATTGTAGAAAATAAAATTTAGAAACTAAAATTGAAATTTTTATGAAATATAACCAAACAAATTATAGTTTTTCTTTTTACATTTATGTCAAAACTAAAATTATACTTTTAACTATCAAGATTAGTTTATTAGTAAAATTTGTGAATAATTTATAAAAAAAATCCAAAGTGGAATATTATTACTACTCATAAAAGTTATAAATTATTAATTTATATCAATAATTAAAAAAATATATAAAAATTGTTTACAATTTATTGGTAGTGTAAAATGTTCTAATAAAAAATATACTTTCATTTAATCACAATTTACTATGTATAATTATATATCATATAGTCTTGATAATTTACGTTAATTGTACTTAAAAATTAAACTTAATAGGAATATACGAATACGCCCTGTGTTTAAATGATTTCCTAAGAGATACAGAGACACTGGGGACTAGTATTTGTTTATCTTAGTGTACCAGATAAAAAATAAATAAAAAATAATTGACATGAAAAAAAATATAATATTATGATATCTTTAAATATTCTAAAAATTACTCTTTTTCATTTTTTTTCTTCAAAGTTTGTCCATACTTAAATTGCGTGTATAGTCTTTTCTTAATTTCATTTTTTTTTCCTCAAAATTTGAAGTGAAATTATATCTAGCTTTTTCAAATTAAAATTATGTATTTTAATCTTTCAAATTTCTGAAAAAAAAATACTATTTTTAAATCTCTGAATGAGATGCATTAACAAAACTAATGATGGTACATTATTAACATGGGTACTCTCATCATGACACCACTTTTTATTATTTTATCAAATAATTTTTATTAACTTCAATTATTTTAATATCTTTTTTGTTACATTATTTTTTATCAGTTATGCATATATAAACCTTTAAAAATAAGATTTCTAAAGTTAATATTTCAAAAATTTTAAGATATAAATCCATGTCACTTATTATTTATTTAACAAAAGAAAAGTACTCATAAATAATAATATTTTATGAAAAACAATTAGATAAAAATACATTTTAAATCCAATTTTTATGAAAAATATGAAATTGATTCTTATAAAAAATGCGAGTTTAAAAAATATTTGTAATAGATGTGTAAAAGGAAAGTAAACTTGTCGTGTCAATTTCGAAAATAAAAAAAAATCAATATTTTTATCATGAGGTTTTTAATTTCTTCCTATTTGTTTATAGGTAAAATAATATCTTCAGTAGCAACATTATTCTCAAACAGAAAACTAAACCCTAATTCTTGATTAAGGATATAAAGAATTATTTTTACCTATTGTCTAAAATACCTTTAATTAACCTAAAAAAAAGAAAAATTAAAGAGTGATCAAATCATTTAAAAAGGGTTATTCTTAATTCTCGTTCTTTATTTTTATTTACTCTAATAATTTGATAGATAACTTATGTTTGTCCATTAGATAAAAAAAAAAAAATGAAAAATCATGGTAAGTGACATGGATTTATATGTAATATTTTACTTAAGCATAAATTGAAGATCATGATCATGACATGAATCATGATTAAGGGTGTGGAAAAGTATTTATTAAAAGATAATTCTTAACTGAATTTACCTATTTAAAAAATTAATCTTTAGCTCTGACTGAATGAGACACTCTATGGTTTGGAGTGGGTTCTAAGGTTTGTTTGTTTTTTTTATTAAGGAAGCTGTTTTTCTTTCTAAAAGAGCATAATGCTTATGCTGAGTCAGGGCCACGACAAAAGCAGAGGAATAAGTTGAAAGTGAAAGAAAAAGGAGGAACCAATTTTCCCATATTTTCTTAAGAAATTGCATTATCATAATTTCTCATATTATGACTCGTATAGTATATTTTAATGAGATTTTTAAGAAATTAAATGGATTAAAATCAATTCTTTCCAAAAATATTTCTTCAATAAAAAACATCACATCATTTAATTTTTATGATTTATTTTTAAATTTAATTTAATCAATTCATTAAGTAATAACGACCTTTTTATTGAAAAAAACAAAGATGGAGACAGAATACAGAGAGATACGTGATTTATGTCCCAATTCAGTTTAGTTCCTTAAAATTTTCTTATATTAGTGTTGATTCTTTAGGTATTGTTTGTCCCAATAGAAGAAGTAGAAGAGAATGGTGTTGTAGTAGATGTGAAATTTCATCCCCCCAAAATGCACAGGGAACAAACGGGTCTTGCACGAAGACCAAAATGGGTAACCAAAGAAACCAAGAAAGATTCCGTGAATAGATGAAACATTCAGCGTTGACAGAGAAGGTAAATTATTTGTTGGTGGAAGCTAGCTTTAGCAAGTAATTTGACTAAGGTAGGTGCTGAATTTGGCACCCCAAAACTTCCATAAACTCAAATAGAAGTTGGCATTTTTCTAGATGTGTCAAGCATTGGAGGGTAAGGTATGATGAAAAGGCAAGAATTTGATACTGCACAAATTATGAAGAACTGAACATTTTTGCAGTCAGACAAAATGACACCCTTTTTTCAGATGAACTAGTGGGTATCCACAAAAGTTAAACGACAAATTCAATTGATTCTTAAGAAGTGGTTGGTTCCTCTCTTTCTCTAGTACACGCAGACTTCTTTTTCTTCTTTGAGCTTAAAGGACTTCACTCCAAACATGGGACATCATTCTAAGTCTGGCTCAACCAATGATGTGTTTGTACTAAAGAATATTCTAATTCAGTGGCCAATGAAGTGTTGGCAGATATGTGTGATACTATAAGATAAGAATAATTGGGATTTAAAAGGACAAGGGAACTTCCTTTTCACAACAATACCTCGCAGTTACTTTCCCTTCTGCACTCATTTCTCTCCTTGCAAAATTGTTCTTGAAAATAATCACCAACATGCTTATCCTTAGATTATGCATATCTATCTACCTTCAAAGTTTACTAATTACTCCATTTACTTTTGTGCAAATTTGGTGACATCTCTTGTACTTCTGCAAAAGGCTTAGAAGCAAACAACCATTATTGCTAGATGTTAACAACGTCAATCCAATCACAGTCAGAGTCACAAACTCACATCGGACATCCTAAAATCACGCCACTCAAATTCTTCATGGTAAAGCTCATTTCAACTTGACTGTTTTAAAAGGTTCATCGTATGAGACAATGGGCTAAAAAGCTTTGCCCTCCAAAGATAAATCCCATTTGGGAAAATCACTTCTTTTTTATTAGTTTCTTATGTACCATTCTCCTTTTCAATCATATTAGTAATAAATTGATAGAAATACATGAATGTTTACTTTTGTCACTTTCTCACTCAAACCACCCATGCTTCTAATCCAATAATACAATCTATTGTTCCAATCAACATAAATTTGGCAGTTAGCACTTCAAAAATGTTGAGTTTTTGGTTTGTTCCAATCCAATAATGGTAAAGCTACAAGCCATAATTTATAAGCTCCGTCTTTGTGGACTTGTCAATGTTTTCCACCTTACTTTTTCTGTTACATTATTAATTAATCAGTTTTATATGTGAAAGACATTAGCCATGAGAATTTGATACTAAGAGACAAGAGGTTGGTGTCTGGAAACGACCTAGAATCACGTTATTCCCACGCATGGTTGTGTTCCCCATCATAAGGAGACGGTATGCTATATATATATATATATATATTCCATACTCTTTAGTTTCACATCATTCTCTACAACTACTATAAACTTGTGCTTCGTCTGCTAACAATCCATTATTCTGTATTGACAAGTCACTTTCACATGTATCTAATCGCAGTTCTGAGTTGGTAGCCTATAGTTTTCGTGCAGATGTGTTAAGGATTGTTGTTACAGTAGCAGTACTAGTGGTGGAGTCAAAGAGGAGTGTTGAACCCTATACTTTTATTATGCAATTAGACACTAAATGCAAATACCTCGCACAACGATAATTGGTTCTCTGACAAACACTTAAGTTGAAGTCATGTTTGGACCCAAAGAAAAGAGTCACATTGAGTGGGGGAGACCCCATTTATTTAGCGTGGTCGTTACTTAAGCATGGGAGATTGGCTATCCAAACTTTTTGGTATAAGAAATACTGTAGAAAGTTTTTAATTTAGGCTAAGCACATAATACGAAAGCAGAACGAGTCACAAGTGTCTTAGGTTGATGACGCAATTATGGCTGAAATTTCAGCATCTAACATGAAATCAAGTTACGACCCCAATTGGGTGGAGAATGGATCATTGGGCCTGATTCTGGCTACGGGTGCAAAACACACATCATTGTCTAAGCGACATTATTTTTAAGGAAGATAACCACGTAATGATTTCTCTCTCATTTTTAATTGATTTTAAATTATATTGGAAGAAAAAACTAAAGTCAAAACAAGGAAACCTAAAAAAAAATGGTTAAACTTGACTCATGTTGAATAATGCAATATGGAGGGCACATTGGTACTGCTTTTATAGTTGATAAATTCTGTCCATCCAGTTTGTATTACACATCGTTAGGTTTAAGTCTCTTAGCAATCACTATCATCGAGTACGGGCTTGTCTCCTCCACTGACTAGATGAAATAAAGAAAAGATCCACATACTATGACTCATACAATTAACCAAAAAAAATGATGGCTGTTACTATTTGATGATTTAGGCAACATAGCACTCCATGTAAACTTTCTTTTCTTTTGCAGTGTTATCTTGAGGCAGTGCTTTATTTAAATGTGATAGAGCAGCATGGACCTCAACAAACCAGCACCATGTGAAAAAAGGATAAAACTTAAAAGCCTGGAATAACGGCTAAGTGACATACGTCAAGCTGGGGGTGATTAACCTGAATTGTATAAATTCTCTGAAACAGTATCAAATTCTGCTGAGGTAAACTAGCAATTAACCGAGTGACACGATTCAAGGGACCCTTTTCTTTTGTGAGATGTCACGCTTGACAAGCCCCTTGTCAGTGTTATCTCCATGCCTTCATTGACTATGAGTGAATACAACCGTTGGTTGGTGGCATATTATTATCGATTTACACTACTTTTAACTGAACATCTATTGCAACTTGTGGATGGATAACTCGGGTACAAGAAAGGCAAGGCTTTTACCCAAAGGATCTTATCATGAATATCAAGCATCCAATTTATGTTAATTGAGGGTCAAGTACTAGAGATTGCAACGACAACTTACCCATGTGTGACCGTATGACCAAAAGGTATATCTAATATCACCCATTCGTTGCTGTCCCCACAGAGCACAAATTTTCTTATTCATACATTAAGCATATCGATTCCATGTCCAACTCCATCAATCAAATGCGAGAGTCTCTGTGTGTGCGTGTGCCTGCTTCTTGTGTATATATACGTATGAAGGCTAGCAAAGCTGTCAATTAGTCCCTCCCAAACTAGCTCTAGCATAAGTAGAACTACATCACTGCCTATATCAACCACCACTTCCTCATATAGTTCTCGCCCTCGCGCTCTATTAAACAAACATCATACTTTTGACCTTGTGTTGGTATAGTATCAGGTATCAACCACGAATGTCTACAAGGTGAGAAAAATCTAGCAAAAGATGGAAGCTGTTAAGTTGGTATCTAGTGATCAAAGTGAGAGACCAGACACCTACCGAGTTGCTTACATAATTCATTTCTTGCTTGGTGCTGGCAACTTGCTTCCCTGGAATGCCTTGATCACTGCAGTGGATTACTTTGCCTATCTCTATCCCACCAAACACATAGAAAGGGTTTTCTCTGTGGCTTACATGATTTCATCTGTGATGGTGCTTCTTGGGATGATCAGTTGGGGAGGTTGGAGCAAAACAACGTTGAGGTTGAGAATGAACTTGGGGTTCTCCATGTTTGTTATGTCTCTTATGGTAGCCCCAGTCATAGACTGGACTTCAAGCAGCACCAAGCTCAATGAGAGACCGAGTGGTGCCTATGGTCTGACAGTTGCAGCAGTGGTGATATGTGGCTTAGCAGATGGCTTGGTAGGTGGAAGCTTGATAGGGTCAGCCGGGAAGCTCCCAAAACAGTATATGCAAGCAGTTTTTGCTGGAACTGCTTCTTCAGGTACCAAGGCATATCATTCTTTGCTCCCATGTTCAGTTCACTTTCTTTACCCCTTGGCAGATTATTTTTTCTATTTTTGACAAATTCATAGGAACTTAAGAAGCAGCTTAGTATAAATAAAGAAGTTTTAAACAATACCATGATGTGTACTTTTATTCTTTTAAGGATATACATGCTTTTAAAGGGTAAGAGAAAATAAACTAATGTAGATTCCTGGGTTTCGTTTTCTTAGTTTTTAACTTGGCACTGTATCTGTATGACAAGATCTTTTCTTGTGTATTTAGCATATTCTTTCGTCTAGAATTGCTAAAGTAATCATATCCATCTGGTATTAGAGCCATACTATATTACTCACATCAAGTGTCTCATAGATACTAAATACTAGAGTTTTGAAACTGCTTTTCTTGCTTAAATAAGTTGTACAAGGTCGGCCTCTAGTTTTCAAATGATGTTTGAGTTAAAACTACGATATTTGAAGTAAAATTCAGTACTTGGTTTGATATCCAGCTGCTGTTAATGTTCGGTCCTATACAATAATATTTTTTTTTCCCGTGGTGGCAGGTATTATAATTTCAATCTTGAGGATAATAACCAAGGCATCACTTCCACAAACCCCCAAGGGTCTCAAAATAAGTGCTCACTTGTACTTCATGGTTGCGACCATTTTCCTCCTATGTTGTATTGTGTTTAGCAACTTGCAGCACAAGTTACCAGTGATGCAGCAGTACCATCAGAGGATTCATCAGGAGAGCACCTTATGCACAGGGACAAAATTTTGGGCAGTGGCAGGAAAAATCAAGGGAGCAGCGTTTGGAATTTTCATAATCTACATAGTGACTCTGTCTATCTTCCCAGGATTTATTGCTGAAGATCTTGAATCCAAGCTTCTGAGGGATTGGTATCCTATTTTACTGATAACAGTTTATAATTTAGCTGATCTAATGGGGAAGTCATTAACTGCCTTCTATGTTATGCAATCCATGACAAGGGCAATATGGGCTGCCACATCTAGGCTACTATTCTATCCACTCTTTGTAATTTGCCTTCATGGACCAAAGTGGCTGAAAACAGAAGTACCTATGGTGGTTCTGACTTTTCTGCTAGGATTTAGCAATGGCTACCTCACTAGTGTCCTTATGATTCTAACACCCAAGTCAGTGCCCTTGTCAGAATCAGAGTTATCTGCTATTGTGATGACAGGGTTCCTCGGGTTTGGCTTAGTTGGTGGTTCAGTTCTTGGCTGGTTCTGGATCATATGAAGGCTTCCTTGTGCTATAATAAATGAGCAAAAGGTAGTAGCATTCGTTGTAAATCATGAGGCAAGAAAGTCATAGTTACCTTGCCCCCACTAGGTTGTTTCTTTATTTGTTCTGTAATGTTGTGAGTGCCATGTCTTGCCATGCCAGGACATGACAACCCTGGAGATCATTAGAAAACTAGTAGGTTAGAAATGTACTTTAACCATCAACTGAATGGAAGCTAAGAACTGCATTAATAGAAGCAACATCTCCTTGCCACAAATGCCAAAAAGTTTCCTCTTCCCTGCAATTAGGCATTTAAATTCATTCAATTTGAACTCGAGTCTAACTCAAAATTAACTCTTAAAGAAATGAGAGTTATCCACACTCGTATCTCTTACGTCAAAAGACTAAACATTTCAATTATAAATTTATAGAATTGAACATTCATAGGTACCACAAACAACTCCATAACAAGAACTCAGGAGCATAATAAACCTAAGAACAACCAGTAAGACAAACTGTGATAAAATTTTAGTACCTAAACCTAGATCAATCCAAAATTCGAAAAATTCCAGCTGTCTTGCTCCCTCCTTGGCAAGATTTCCATTTGTGATCAACATTTCAAAAGCTGAATGGCAAGGGTTGGAACTAAGACAGCAATTTGACAAAACAAAACACGAGGAACAGGTGCTTCATTTCAAAAATAAAAATGAAAAATCCACCCAATAGAATACATCCAGGGATTTTGATTTGTTCCTAAGTCACATTATGAAAAAACAAAATCTGCCATGCCACCTATCTGCACGTGTGAATAATATAACTCCAAAACTGTCCATGCAGCGGTGCTGTAAGCATTCCAGAAAGAAGGATTTGACGATCAAAGGGAAAGAAGAATATGTCCCATATTGCTAAGACTTATGACCTCTCTTAAAAACCTTCTAAAGGCTGAATGGCAAGGGTTGGAGGAGGGTTCTGTCGCAGCAGTTGCACAAAACAAAAACACGAACCACAAATGCTCCATTACTTAACGTTGTTGGCAAACACACGACTCCACCGATTACACCTGCGGATTCTGTTTTGTCCTTATGATATATATGCGTATGTTTGAAACATTTAAATTTTAACCAGAGCTATTAAATAGTTTTAGTTTATTCAGATTTTTCAAATTGTTGTAAAACTCAATTTTCTTAAATCATATTTGATATGTAGACTTGGTGGATTTTAAATGTTTGCAGAAATATTCTTTTTTCATTATTATTGTGATATAATCTTGTAAATTGTTTTGAGACGTGTATTAATTACTTTTTTCATTTAAATTTAGAAGGTTGATCAAATCGAATTAGGAAAGATTTTTGAAGAAGGAAGTTATATAAATGAATAATGAACCAGTAATAAAAAAATACCAAATATTTTTATAAAATAATATTTAAATATAATTAATTATCTAAAAATTACAGAATATTTATTTTTATTTTATCGTTATATATATATATATATATATATATATATATATTATTTTGACTAAATATAACTCTTTCAAAATCATAAAATATTTATTATTTAAGATTGATTTATTATATCAGTCAAATGTCGAATGTCTCTTATTCACCCGATCAATTATGTAATAGTTACGATAAAATAGATATAATTATTATTATTATATTTTTAAAAATATTAATATTTAAGGATATGTTAATACAAAAACCGCAGAAATCATAAGAAAATTATTCTAAAGTTACTATTATATTATATAAAAACAATTTAAACATTACATCATATAAAATTATGCGATATAATATAAAAAAATTAATATTATAATATATAAGTCAAATATAAATTTATAAATTTAACTTAGAATTTATATTTAAATTTTTAATATTAGAAATATTTTGATTATATTCATAGATACTTTTATACACCTGTTACTCAATAGGATTGAGTTGATGGATGGAATAGAACAACCTAATGCCAGCTGCATAAAAATCAAAATATGCCGGCTACTTAGAGGGTGAATAAAAAACCTCCAAATACTGTTCAACCACCTCTTTTCCTTCGATATAACGCCACACGAGGACAAGAGCTTTATTTACCACAGTGATGCACTTTCTTTTAAATATTTTTAATGGGTAAAATCATGTTTTAATTCATAAACTAAAACATAATATTATAATATTTATTTCTTAAAAATGGAATTTTTATTTTCTTTTAAAAAAACTTGCTCCTATTTTCATCCAACTACCAAAATAAAATAAGGGACATGTATTTAAACACATTATATTTTTATTTTTTATACACATAATTTTATATATAAAAAAATTGAAGTCTTGAAACAAGACTGGCATATATTTCTTTAAGGTTAAAGTTAAAATGAAATATCAAAACTGAAATTTAAATAAAATAAACAAACTAAAATTCACGTAAAATATTAATACAAACATGACTTTTGAACTTTAGAAATAATGATTTCAACCATGACTTTAAAAAAACGTGATTTAATCGCAACTTATTTGAAAATCAGATTTTATTAAAAAAACAATTAAAAAAATCCGTGATGACTTATTAACCATTTTTCCGTAAAAAAAATATGAAAAAACTTAAAATTTTTAATAAATTAAAATTAATTTATTTATAAACTTTTTTAAAAATTCACTTATATTTATTTGTAGTTTTCATTTTGATTTATGAATACATTTACTCTTTTTTCTTAAAAAAATCTACGAATACTTACAATAAAACAAGAATACGTCAAGTAGTGTATAGAAATTAATATAAAAGAAAATAACAAAATCATGATATCATAGACTACCACGATCACATAAAAACAGTTAAAAAGTGGCGTACAGTAGCATAACTTCTAAATAAAAACCAAGAAAAATATATCGTAAACGTTAACATAATAATACGAAGATAGTGTATATCACACTATATTTCACTTTAAAAACTACGAAATTATGTTCAGAATCAAGATTTATGTTGTGCTTGGCAGACACAACTTGTATCTATCTCCGGAAAATTAAATTTTTATCCAGGAATTTTTTTTAAATTGCACCATTTTGATAAACAGAAGACAAAAGAAAGAAAGGAAAGATTTGACAGATCAATCATAATAAAGCAAAACAAAAGGAGAATAATGTCCCCCCATCTTTTATTCTCCGTTATGGCAACATGAATCTACATTGATGACAAGGTGGACAACAACCATAACTATTATCACTGTTCTCATCGGCCAAAAATATTACAAGGTTAAGGTAGTAATATAACCAAGGTTAGAAAGTTATATATGAAAGTCATACACCAGTGGAAGCAGTTAAAGGAGAAGGGGGTGGACCAACACCATGTACGAAACCGCCAGATTTCTCATAGGAATCTTCTCCTTCTTCTAGATCTTCCTCCTCAGCGTCCCACAGAAAATGAGCATAGGATGCCAGAACATAACTACAAAACAAAGCAACCGTTTCGTAAATTCACAGAATGAGATAATTATATTACCACAAACACATATTCTGAATTTCTGATCTAGGGTCATCGCCCTCCAAATTATTGAACCAAAAATTGCTGCTTTTCTATACCACCGGATTTTAACCTTCATTCAACCATCCATTTCAAAATTATATGAATTTTGATAAGAAAATTGAATCAGCTGGAAATATATTATCTTCACAAAATTCATGAAAATAACACTTATTTGTAATATTCAATTCATGCAATGATATCATTCTAAGTTTTTTTTTTCTCTTTAATTATACACTAAGTATTATTTGGAGTCTATTAATAATCTACCATAACCAAAATTAGTATGTTCAAATAAGTTTATCAAAAAGTAATTTCAAGATAATTAGTTTTTACATAACAATAAATTACAATTTTTTTGATAAATTTTTTTTAACTAATTTTAGGTATAATTTCAAACAAACCTTATTTTGCAAGCAGTATGTTAAACCGCCGAAATTTGTCCTAACATGTACATCTACTGTGACATGATACTATAAAAAAAATAAAAAATAAAAAAATAAAAAAAAATAAAAAAAAACTTTACCTTCGAAGTAAATTCAATATGATTCTGAAGTCCTAAACACACCATACAAATAATGAATAATCTCAATCAATCAACCATAAAAATAACAAGCAAGAGAAGACATGATGTGTTACCAGTCATCAGGTGCAGCTTTAACTGCTTGATCAAAATAAGTCTCGGCACGTGAAGCATCCTTGTGGCTCTCCCATATCAAGTCTGCATACATCGACAGCACCTTCCCATCATTCGGATTCGCCAATATCGCTCTCCCACAATACTCCTCTGCTTTCACATAGTCCCCTTGAACCTGCCATCAAGTAGACAGATATACGTATTCTCATCCATCGCTTTACACAGTCAGCAAGTAAATCAAATATTCGTCAATTCACGTACCTCTTTCAAGTACCTCGCGTAGTTCCCAAGAAACAGAGAGTTCCCTGGATTGGCTTCGATCATCGTCCGGTAATACAAGTCCGTGCTATCGTTTCCATTATTCGAATCCGAAAACCCCGACCCTCCGCCGTCACCGTTGTCCCGTCCGCCACCGCCGCCGCCGCCACTTCCGCCGCCTTCTGCGGACACGCTCTCGTTTTCGTCAGACTCGGTGAATGAAAAAAGAGCGGAGCCGAACGACGCCGTTTTGGACCACGCGGAGAGATCGGTCTCCGACAGCGCCCGCGTCATTCTGCATGGGGAAGCGTCGACTGGCGATAGCGAATTCGACGAAGCCGACAGCATGAGGGAGCGCGTCCGCGGGATCCGGTGAAAGATTTCGTGTTCGTGAGGCGAATCCTTCGGGTTTGGGGTTGGATTGGGGTTAGGGATTCGCGAGTTCAGAATCGGCGTGGACGAGCTTCGTAGAAGCATTGTGGTTGTTGTCATGGATGTAAGGATCTTGTTCTGGTTCCCTCTGAAACGGTGAAATAGTTGGTAATGGAGAAGGGAAAGAAGAAGAACACTCACTGACTCACACGTCAGAGAGGTGAAGATGGTGGAGAATGGCGACGGAGTTTTATAGAAGGAGGTGATAAGTGATTTCGGCCGTTGATTCTTTGTGGAGTGGGGTCCTTTTATCCGGCCCCCCGCGCGGGGTTTCACGTGAAGTGGGACCCGGTGATGAGATTTGGGCCGTTGGATCCGATTTGGACGGTGGTGATGGTGCGAAGGGATGAGGTGTGGGGGGTGTGGGCAGTGGCGGAGATTTTTTAAGGGTGACTGGTGAGGCTGGGAAACGTCGGTGTCGCCTTCATCTGGCCTCTTGCTTGGTTGTATGTTATGAGTCTTGGTTCAGCGGTGCTTTGAGAGATCGTTGTGGGTCCCTCTCGCAAACTATTTGATGCCTTAACAAGGGAGGGCATTCATGATAATTGCATCATGAGGTTTTTCTATTGTCAGATATTTTATATTTAAACTTTGTAAGAAAATAAATTATAAATAAAAATTATAAAAATATAGAAAAAACTTTATCCATTAAATAAAAGTCTAAAAATTAAACATGTTTTTTTAGATTGGTTCATGTTAATTAATACTGTGTAACGTCTGCTTGAAGATACATCAAGATTAAGAGGATGAAATAATTTCACTGTTCTTAATGATTTATCTGCTTGTGGTAGGCATAAATTTTTCAGGATACATTGTCAAGGCAACAGAAGTGTAAGATTTTTATTAGAAATGTCCTGTAGAGAGGAAGGCACGTCCAAAATCTTTTGAAATCCTGTGGAGACATACATGTTCAATTTAAGATTATAAATTATTCTGTAAATAGTTAATTTTCACCATAAAAGTTTCTTCAATAAATAATTAATGTGTTGAGAATTTATAGATGATTAATCAAATTCATGATATTTTGAGTTGGTCTCTGACCTTTTCTACCCTTTACATAAAATATTTTGTTCTTAAAAATGTTTTAAGAATCGGTGACCAATCTTCTTTTATATAATTTTAATATATATATATATATATATATATATATATATATATATATATATATATATATATATATATAATGTCACGTGAGAACTATTGTCTCTCTTTGAATTGGAGCATTTTAAAGGAGTGATTCAACTTTTTAAATATTTGTGTAACCAATTTGTATAATAGCACGTTTGACAAATCACTTCCTGCATAACATTTTATATTCACAACTTTGTGTTTAATTAACAATCTTATGCGTATTTTATAATTTATACCCTCTGACCAAAGAAGAAACCACGCAATCATTTATATGATGTATATTTACCCTTTATTAAATACGTGTTATACAAGTGGGAATTGATACATAATCTTTTAATATTACGTCACCTTAGTCAAGGATTTTTATAGTAAAAAATAAATTTATAAGTTAGCTTTTTTTAATAAATATAATTGTCTCCATATATTACATCACCCTTATTTTTGTGCACAAAATGAATGTTATAAAAAACCATGATCAATTCTTGAATGCTGGATAGTGTATTTTATTAATTACGATGAGGTCATAACTACAAGGGCACATGCATAAGAATTCTTAATCAAACTCCCAATCTACTTAAAGGATATAAATAGTGAAAAAACAATCCAAGAGAAAAAAAAAGAAAAAAATCTCTTAATAAATTTAAGTCAGATTTTATTATATTTTCATTAAAATCAATTATCATATTAATTTATTATTTATTTTAAAATGTTAATCTATTATTATCTTAATCTATATATATATACATATTTTTTTTAATTTTGACTTTAAACAATATAATAATTATTATTTTATTTATATTTATATATTTAGAATATAATTTATTTAAATTTATATTTTAAAAAATACTTTTAAATAATTTATTTTTGTAATATTAATTTGTTGACATTTTTAAATGTGATAATAATAATAGTATTTATTATTATTATTATTATTGTCGTGTTTTTAATGCATCTGACAAAAAACAAAGACAGAGAATGTGCGCTAGACCATCTAAATTAAAAGTGCGGAATGACTCACACGTTATTTATAGATTTTCTGAATTTGACCTGTTAAATGTTTAATGAATATCGTTTCTTTAATTAAATCAAATAGTTTAAGCGTGAAATCGTGTACGAATTATTTAAGTGTTTTTTTTATCATTGCATGAAGTGTGTTGGTTTTAAACTTGGTTAACTTAATATTAGTAAACCAAACATGTATGCATTGCTTAATAATGAGGTGAAATTTTATTTATGTATTCAAAATGAAGAACTGCAACTTTATCTGTTATTATCCCCTACATGTCGATACCCAACTCTATTCTTTAAATGAGTTTCTGTCAACCTTTTTAAAACAAAAATAATTACTTTTCCGTTATAAAAATTACATCTTTTTTCTTAAATCATATTTATTAATAAAAATTATATATTTTCATTATATTTTTAGTACAAAAAAGTCTATCAAATTATAAATTAGGGTTAAGTATGTTTTTAGTTCCTATATTTTTATGTGAAACCGAAAATAGTCTCTCGATTCACATAAAAATGATCCATATACTTTTGAAATGATTGAAATAGGTTCCTATTTTAAATCTGCGTTAAATATATCTTGATTTGTCTCATTCATTATTTGACACATGTAATTATTTAAAAAATAAATTTAAATAAAATTAAAAGGTGTCAAGCTTTTAAAATTTATTTAAATCCGCATTTATATCAATTAAAAGTCATTTAAAAACCATTTAAAAAGAAATTTAAACTTTTCTGTTATTTATAAGCTATTTAAAATTCTCTACCTTAATTTCGAAATGAAAACCCTAACTATGGTATATCACCGTCGCACATTGCTATTGTGCACCACTATCGCATCGCCAGTCAAACTACAACAAACGGATGAAACCCTCGAATTTCAAAGTCACTTTGACTTCATACAACCTTTACGAGAGAAAGAGAAAGAAAAAAAAGATATTTGGTGTGTGACGAGAAAAAAAAGAGAACGAGTAGTTGTGACAAGAAAGAAGAGAGAATGAAAAGTGGTTGTAACAATAATCGAAGAACTTTGGTGCGTGAGGAGAAAAGAAAAACTTTTATTTTTTAATTTTGTTTTTTTATAATAATCTCTATTGAATAATTTCTATTTTTTTAAAAGAAGAGTTTTTTTTAATAATTATACGTGTCAAATAATGAATGAGTCATATTATTTCTGTTAGACTGGATCATTATGTATTTAACGTCATTTATAATAGGGATTTATTCCATTCATTTTAAAAATATAGGAATCATTTCTATGTGAACTTTGATAGAAAGACTATTTTCAATTTTACATAAAAATACATGAACTAAAAACATAATTAACCCTATAAATTAATATACTTCACATTTCTTATAAAAACATTGATAAAAGAAAACATGATTAATTAATATTTAGGTTAATAAATTGAATAAAAGCTCAAAAGTTCAAAACTCAAGCCACAACCCTTATTTTTGCAGCACAAGTCGAACTCTATTACATATTAGTTAGAAACTCTGAATAAATTTAAAACAATTGTATTTATTTTATCATAGTTCAAGCTTCAACATCAACTTTTGTCTTGATTCTTTTTGTACAGGTTAAAAACCAAGGCCTTTTTCATTTATGTACTTTTGAAGTGATTAGTGCATAAAGTTTTTTTTTACCAAGAAAAATTATCCAAAAACATGTGGAATTTTCATTCTAATCAAAATATTTCACCTTTTATTCGTAAATGATTTTATTTTTAATTATAAATAAGAGAAAAAAATATAAAAAGGTATACAAATTATTATTTTCTAATACTTATATGTTGATTTTTTATTATGTTATTTTAGTAGGATATAATGAATATAAAAATTATTGTAAAATTCAAATAAATAATTTAATATATTTCATATTTATTACTTTTTTATTAATTTTAACTTAAATAAATTTTTAAAAAATATGATAACAATTATTTTATAATTAATTATTAAAACAATGAGATTTTAATTTCAAAAGCTAATTTGTTCATAAAAAAATGATTAATATAAGTAACTTTATTATTTTTTAAAGAATTTTATTTTTCTTTTTTATATTATTTTCTTTTTACATTTTTCTCATGTTTCTCATGTTTTGTTTTGTTTTTTTACTAAAGGAATGACTATACTTATAGAATTGATATAATATTTTTTTAAAAATTTAAAGATAAATACATGGTATTTTTTCCCTTATCAATATAATTCTAATATATGAATGAAATACTTTGTTTACTGTTTACGTAATTTATTGATTTTCCTCTTGTTGTGTACAAAAGCCAAATAATTTAGTGCTAAGAAAAGAAGAAAAATTGGTATCTAGTCACGCACACTAAGACGATGGAGACATTCAGCAACATGCCACCCACCATTTTATTTCTCTTTCTCTCTTATCTGATGCGTCTCCTTTTTGGAGCTTAACTCCATTTTTAATTGAACTGCTGTTTCCTTCACTTCTAATTTTCTTTACAATTCTAGAATATTCCAACTCTTTGCTCTTCAACTCTTTGCGATCTTGTCTTTTCTCCTCGAGCGGCTAGTAAGCAAGGACCAGGTTCCAGAATAATATTGCTTTAATCCAATAACGGAACTGCGTTCGTTCCTCTGAAATTCATTGGGAGCCAATTGAGTTACTAGGTCATCTTCTCTGATTCGGAAATTCGCCACGAGGAGCTGCAATTGCGAATGAAGGAACGATCGAAAACCATCAAGAAGGTGAGCAGAATGATCGGGAAGTATGAGGTGGGGCGAACTATTGGCGAAGGCACGTTCGCCAAGGTCAAGTTCGCGAGAAACTCCGAAACCGGGGACAGCGTGGCCATTAAAGTAATGGCTAAGACCACTATTCTCCAGCACAGAATGGTTGAGCAGGTCCACCTTTTTCTTTTTAACTGCTCTAATGGGATTTTTATAACCTTTATGTTTTGGATTATAGCTTCTGAGTTTTGTTTGGTTTGTTGTTCATTTAAATTCATGTTGCTGATAACGAGTATGAGGTCAAACCTTTCTTTACATTATTCATTTGGTATCCAAAAAACTAAATAATAAAATTAATACAAACTAGAGATGAAAGTACGAGAGGCTAGATCGTGTTTGGTTTGGCTGAACGAGAATCGGAGGCAATCTCTATTATTAAAGATGGAAATATGTCAAGTTGCTAGTGTGAGGCAGATTTTGAGGCCTATGGCATTGTCAATCTCAAGCCGGGGCCAAACCTATTTTCAATAAGTCAAATGAAGGCTTTATTTAAAGCTTGTTTAGTAAAAAAGTTCAAGCTTTGCACTGTTCAAAATGACTTTTAGGCTCCAAATATTGACTTATTTAAATACATACAAGCTATATAATGATCATATTATCATTGTTATCATTATTTGTAATGAATGTTTACATTAATATTTTGAATTTTGCAGTCAAAATCTGCAGCTAAGTCTTGCCTGTACATTTATGCAGAATAATGATGCAGTTTGTTGGACTGAATGCTTATTGTAATTCTTTCCACCTTTTGCTATTAGCTTTTCTAACTTGAAACATGTTACTATAGATTAAAAGAGAGATATCCATTATGAAGATTGTCAGGCATCCTAATATAGTTAGATTGCACGAGGTATGTATAGATATCCTAATACGCCAGGATTTACTCCATTTTCCATCCTCTTATATTTCTCACGTTGTTTTCAAATTTTAGGTTTTGGCTAGCCGAACCAAGATCTACATAATCCTTGAATTTGTAATGGGAGGGGAACTATATGACAAAATTGTAAGTTTCTTTGTTTATATATTATGATTCTTCTAAACTTTGATAATTCTCAAGTCTGACCTTTAAAATTAGAATCGTTGTTGAGATGTAACAAATTATTGTTAATGATTTGATTAGGCTTTTTATTAGTTTTTGTTTGTTGTTTATGCTACAATTACACTGCATTGGATCTGTAGGTTCAGCAGGGAAAGCTTTCTGAAAATGAATCTAGGCGCTACTTTCAACAACTTATAGATGCGGTTGATCATTGTCATAAGAAGAGTGTGTACCATAGAGACTTGAAGGTGAATGTTAGTAAATAGTATATATGTGTGTGTTTGTTTATGTTCTTGCTGTGGTACTGTTTAAACCATTTTATGTTTTTGTCTTGATCAATTTGTTTTCTTCCCTTTTGATAGCCTGAAAACCTTCTTCTTGATGCTTATGGAAATTTGAAAGTTTCTGACTTTGGATTGAGTGCATTGACTAAACAGGTAAGAATACATTCGTAAAATAGAGATAATTATTGGTTTCATCCACTGGCATCTTGTTTTCGCTTTGTCTCTGAAAAATGATTTTTGGAAATAGCAGAAGCTGCAGAACTAATGCCTCCATTCTTTTCTCTGTGTCTTTCTTATAGGGTGTTAGCCTTCTTCACACCACTTGTGGGACTCCAAATTATGTTGCCCCTGAGGTAAAATTGGTTACATACAACTGTAATCTCATTCCTAATAGCCTTTATCTTTTTCCCCTTTTCCTATGGGTGATTAGCTACTTTGCTCATATTGACGGTTTGTATAATTCTCCATATCAAGTTTATTTATTGTCCTATGGACAAACCACTAGTGATGAAATAGACAAATAATAACGAGTTGAGTGTTGTGGCAGTATAACCTTTTTGTTTTTCTCTAAATTCAGCATGAGTAATAAATACATATGAGATATTCAAAACTGAAAATGAAAATATATATGTATATTATATGTGTGTGTGTCTATATATATATATATATATATATATATATATATATATATCAGGGGAATTAAGGATGACATGCCATTCAATGAGGGAGCGTGAAATAAGAAATTAATCCACTTTAAAGTTAAAGTAGTATAATTTAATATATAGTAGTAGATATTATACCTTATCCATAAACCCTTATATAGGAACAAGAGTCGTCTTCACACATTTAATTTAATTATTAATACATTTAATGATTGAATTAGTAATTGTTGCATTTTTTCCATCTCATGACATTGATAATTTATGTGCCTAAGTGATTTTAGGTGGCAAATTGCTTGTTTCTTCCAAGTGATTTAATTATGAGTTAGTATAACTTTTATTTTATTTTTCCTTTTGTTAGAAAAGTAGTTTTAGATCAAGAGGGGGGGTGAATTGATCTTTGAAAGTTTTTTGCAATACACAGATTATCTAATCCAAAAATTAAGATTACTTATCAATTCACAAATCACAAAGCAATCAAACAGTTTAAGTGCAGCAGCAGAAATTAAAGAGAGAAAGGTTAGGAAAGATTTCACCGGTAATTTTATACTGGTTCACCCACAACCAGGGCTACGTCCAGCCTCCACCAAATTCCAACTGGGTTCCACTAGAATAGATGTTTTACAGACTCACACTCTTACACCTATTCTAACTCTCCACCAAGAACCAAATTCCAGCTCTTGGAAACCTCTCGCAACCAAATTCCAGCCAGCAGAGAAACCAAGTGCCCAAATTCCAGGCACCACACAAGTACAAGAACCAAATTCCAGTTCCCGCACTTAACCTCTCCCACCAAGAACCAAATTCCAGCTCTTGATAACCTCTCGCAACCAAATTCCAACTAGCAGAGAAACCAAGGCCCAAATTCCAGGCACCAAACAAGACAAGAACCAAATTCCAGTTCCTCGCACTTAACCTCTCCACCAAGAACCAAATTCCAGTTCTTGGAAACTTCTACAACCACCTACCAACTGAGAAAAAAAACTTGTACCCAAATTCCAGGTACAACACAATACAAAGTAATGAAAAAGAATTTACAAAGAAGAGACTTAGAAAGCTCAAACCGGATTACACCAATCCACAGTAAGTTTCTTCTTCAAGGATGCAAAGTGCCTCAAGAAAGATTTCAAAAGAAGTTCACAAAAACAGCTTGTGTATCTTTCTTGAAAAATGCTAATAGTTGTTTGTATTGATTGCTTGAATTGTGTAAAACCGATATTCAATCTCTCGTTTAAAAGTTTCAAGCAAAACTGTTTATAAAAGAGTATTTTCAAATCTGCTGCATTAATTAATCTGTTGAAAGTTTGTTTTAATCTATTGAAATAGCCGTTACAATCTGTTAAAAGTCCTTTCAACCCATTAATGCGTTCTTGATCTTTAACAGAATGGTTTTAGTTGATACAACCATGTTTATATCAGTTAAAACATTTTACAAACATTTTCTAAGTATAAAACAATCGATTGAATCGCGTATTAATCGATTGATTTGTTTAAAAACCTTCTTATAAAACTTTCCAAGTTATTTTAGCTGATATAAAGTCGTTTTAATCGATTGAAAATCTGCACATATATTTTCAAGTCATTTTAATCGATTGAAAGTTCGTTTTAATCGATTGAAAAGATTTTCTAAGTTATTTTAATCGATTGAAATACGTTTTAATCGATTGAAACAGATCTGATCGGTCATAATTCAATTCTGATCGATCATATCCAACTCTGATCGGTCATAATCTCATTCTGATCGATCATCCTGACATCCAAAGTGATTTTAATCGATTGAAACGTGTTTTAATCGATTAAAATAATTCGATCGCTCATATTTAAGATCTGATCGATTATATTGCATTCGACCTATTATATTCGAATTCTAATCGGTCATAAAGAGTTTTAATCGATTAAAAGAAGTTTGTATCGATTAAAATATTGTAAAAACACTTTTTAAGACATTCTAAGTGTTTTAAATTGATTCTTTCAAACCTGTATCGCTTAATAACTTGTTTAAGAAAATTCTTTGCCAAAATGCTTTTGTTTTTTATTTGTTAAAAACTGTTTTGAGGCATTTTGCAAGATGAGTGAAGAAGCTTTATGCAGATGGAAAAGGTAAAGTGGTTTTACCTAAGCTTTCGTTAAGACACACTAAGTCTTCAGACTCCTTTGTTCCGAGTGACTTGTTTGACAACTGCAGAGTTGACCCTTGACTTTATTTTTGACTTCATCAAATCAATGAGATCTTTGCTAGGATCACTTTCAGTCTCCCCTATTTGATGAAGACAAACACCATTTTGAAAAAACAATCTCTCGCAAAATAAGTCACTTGATAATGAGGTTAGGTGAGAAATATAAAAATGTAATAATGTTTTATTTCTCCCCTAAAACTTATTTCTCCCCCTAAACTGTTGCTCTTAAATTTATCTTAAAGTGATGCAACTATTTCTCCCCCTTTTGACTTCATCAAAAATAGGGAATAGAAGAGAGAAGAATAAAATGTAAGGTGGTTAGGTGAGAAATATAAAAATGTAATAATGTTTTATTTCTCCCCCTAAAACTTATTTCTCCCCCTAAACTCGTTGCTCTTAAATTTATCTTAAAGTGATGCAACTATTTCTCCCCCTTTTGACTTCATCAAAAATAGGGAAACAGAAGAGAAAAGAATAAAATGTAAGGTTTCGAGAAATATGCTCAAGTTTTTGAAAAAACAAAGTGAATCAATATTTCACTCATGAAAAGAATTAATTAAAGTTGATTCAAACTTATCTCCATTAACACGTTTGTAATGAATACAATTAACACGTGTAAAGATAAGGGAATCACGCTTTAGTAGCATGTTTACGTAAACTGACCATTAACTAAAGCCTTTAATCTTTCTTCCCAGAATAAAAATCGATTAAAAACAGAGCATAATCGGTTAAAATGATCTTGGTAAATGATTTTAATCGATTGAAAGAAAGGTTTAATCGATTAAAACATTTAAGATTTTGAAAACATGAATTTTTAATAAAAACAATCGATTGTTTCGATTTTAAATCGATTAAAACATGTTGAATAAGTTCATTTAATCGATTAACAAGATGTTGTATTGATTAAAACAATCAGTTTTGAAAATGAAGTAATGTTTAATGCATATTTTTGTAAAACTGATCATTTAGAAGGATGTTTTAACAATACTAACAGCTATATTGATTAAATCTTAGCTAATAGATCCATCGAATAAAGTCTTATTTAGCTAAAGCTCTCGTGGATCTATTTAAATTCTATTTACGCCTGATCTGATCTAGATTAGATCCTAAACCATATTTAACCAAAGGTTAAGGCAAATGTTCCTGGTATAACACCAGCTTAATATCACAATCCATGCAAACAATATAAAGATAGAAATAAGCGAGAGGATAAAGATGATGAGGGGAACTAGTCATCCCAATTTCCCGATTGAACCGCTTATCCACCAGACTTGGTGATCATTCATTTGATCCCCACCAATATCAAAAGATAATAGACTTCCCTTTTTGCCGGAACCAATTTTGCTCTAACAACTATTGAGACAACAACAGCCTATCTCTCCCGTATCAGCAATGCATACGTAAACTTTTCCCGAAAAGAAATCTTTTAGCAGTTCATCGTTACTATTGACTGCATTACAGTACCATGGTTGACACCACAATGGAATTTCTACTACACATCGAGGCGTAACCATGTACTCGACCAAATCCCACACAGAATGTATGATACCATAAATTGCATGAATCACAGATTAATGATGTACCGAGATAGGAATTTTCTTTCATAATAGCCAACCCATTTTGAACCCTGCAGCTTATCATCATCCAAGCAAATAACTGTATTTTTATTAATGTAGTATGATGGGTGTTATTCTCACTTATAATGAACCAGTCATCATTATCTTTTGAGGAATGAGTCATTTTTAACTTTGTTGTTTCCAGTGGAATCATATGCACAAGTGATTAACAAAAAAACTTATTCTGGTAGAGTGGGCAATGATTAGTAATGAGGACAGGTGATGACAATCAATCCGTAATTCTAAAACAATATAAATTTTATCCCCGTATCGACCATAAAACATACATTCCCCGTACCACGTTATTCAATTTTTGAATTGTTGTTCCAGATTGGTTCCCTTATAGTGTCACCTCGTGACATTGATGATTAAAGCGGATATTCAAAGTTGCACAGCTCCAATGAATATCACCAAGAGTTTTGAACCAATGCATGCCCAAGATTATTTCGAAATATTGCTAGGTAATATCAAGAAATCTAATGTAAACATTTGTTCATTGAACTTCCTAGTAATCAACAATTTATTACCGGAATCAACTATCACTCGAAAAAATCTTTGATAAACTATGTTTTCGATCCTAACAGCTTTGACCTATTTGTAACTAGTGTCTATAAGAAAAGTTACAGTCTATTCTTTGATAATTTCTTTGATTTTCAGTGTATTACCATGCAAGCATTCCATGTAAAGTATTATGCAGATTTTGTTTATCAAAGAAACTGGGTTTTTGATTCGAATTGGCCTATCAAACTTTAATTAGATGTTATAAAACTTGTTTTCGTAACCTAATTAATCGATTAATCAACTAATTATCTATTAATTTCATTTTTCCTATCGTGTTTGAAAACAAGTTACAATGAGTTAATCGATTGGTTTATAAAAGAATCGATTAGTTTAGTACAAAATGAAATCAATAACATGACACCGTAATTTAAATCGATTAAAACGTGAATGAATCGATTAATTTTGATCCTAAGTGTTTTTAGTTGATATAAATTTATTCTAATCGATTAAAACGACTAAACCAACATTCTCGAGAACAATTTAATCGATTATTTCGATATTTCAATCGATTAAAATGGTACTGGTAAGTTATTTCAATCGATTAATATTGGTTTATATCAATTAAAACAATTAATTTAAATACTCGTAACCTGATTTCGCAGCTTCTGATCTTCAAGGGATTCCCGGACTTGTTCCTGCAAAACAAATTAAGAATTGTTCGCGTACCCTTTATAATTACTCGGGTCCTGATCAGTGTTATTTGGAAAGAATTAATCTTTGGAACCCATTTCATTCTACCTTTAGGTACAAGCATATTTCTTAATTCTCGCAATATTTTATCGAATGCCCTTTCTTCATGCGAGAAAAACATTTGATAAATGGAGATGAAACTGTTTTACTATATGCAAAATAATTTTTGAATGCTCTGGTTTTCTTTCCAATGGTCGGTGTATAACCTATACCACCACGTTCAATAACTAACTTTTGGGAATCAAGTATCTTATCAAGATTATTCTTTCCTTGTGCTAATTTAGATAAAGTTTTTACTAGGTATGATACTTGTTTCCGTAACTCGTGACAGCTTTTGCAATCTTCAACATTACACATGCAATCAAGTATTATTTTCTAATTCTAACTTTTCTTCATCAATTATTTTCTTTTCAAGAATAATGATCTTGTTTTCTAGTAACCTATTCATGCTTTTCAATTTTCTCGTTTTCAGCTTCTAATTTCTTTGCTACTTCATGTATTTCAAAGAAAGCATCTTGTAATGAGCTATAGTTTATAGATTCGAACTTACACTCGGTTTTTGATGATTCCGAGTTGACCATCAAGCATATTTCTGGTGCTTCTTCATAGGTCTTTTCAAGGATCTTCCACATTTGTGCAGTAGCTTGGCAGTGTGCAATCCCGAAAAGATCATCTCCGTTAAGGGCGGATAAGATGATATTCTTGGCAATACAATCATCTTGGATTCTGTTAGCAATATCAGTTTCCTGTTCAATAACATTCCAAGCATTTATACTAACAGATTCAATGAAGATTTTCATCCTTATTTTCCAATATAGGTAATCTGCTCCACACAACAGTGGAGGTCTATCAATGTACGCTCCTCGTAAAATGCCATGGATCGAAGTAACTTGAGTAACTTTCAAGCACCTCGCTCCGATGCCAATTGTTAGAAAAATAGTTTTAGATCAAGAGGGGGGTGAATTGATCTTTGAAAGTTTTTCGCAATACACAGATTATCTAATCCGAAAATTAAGATTACTTATCAATTCACAAATCACAAAGCAATCAAACAGCTTTAAGTGCAAGCAGTAGAAATTAAAGAGAGAAAGGTTAGGAAAGATTTCACCGGTAATTTTATACTCGGTTCACCCACAACCAGGGCTACGTCCAGTCTCCGACCAAATTCCAGTTGGTTCCACTAGAATAGATGTTTTACGTACTCACACTCTTACACCTATTCTAACTCTCCACCAAGAACCAAATTCCAGCTCTTGGAAACCTCTCGCAACCAAATTCCAACTAGCAGAGAAACCAAGTGCCCAAATTCCAGGCACCACACAAGTACAAGAACCAAATTCCAGCTTCCGCACTTAACCTCTCCCACCAAGAACCAAATTCCAGCTCTTGATAACCTCTCGCAACCAAATTCCAGCATGAGAGAAACCAAGTGCCCAAATTCCAGTGCACCAAACAAGTACAAGAACCAAATTCCAGCTCTCGCACTTAACCTCTCCACCAAGAACCAAATTCCAGTTCTTGGAAACTTCTACAACCACCTACCAAATTGCAGAAAAAAACTTGTACCCAAATTCCAGTGTACAACACAATACAAAGTAATGAAAAAGAATTTACAAAGAAGAGACTTAGAAAGCTCAAACCGGATTACACCAATCCACGAGTAAGTTTCTTCTTCAAGGATGCAAAGTGCCTCAAGAAAGATTTCAAAAGAAGTTCACAAAAACAGCTTGTGTATCTTTCTTGAAAAATGCTAATAGTTGTTTGTATTGATTGCTTGAATTGTGTAAAAACTGATATTCAATCTCTCGTTTAAAAGTTTCAAGCAAAACTCGTTTATAAAAGAGTATTTTCAAATCAGTCGCATTAATTAATCTGTTGAAAGTTTGTTTTAATCTGTTGAAATAGTCGTTACAATCTGTTAAAAGTCCTTTCAACCCATTAATGCGTTCTTGATCTTTAACGAATGGTTTTAGTTGATACAACCATGTTTATATCGCTTAAAACATTTTACAAACATTTTCTAAGTATAAAACAATCGATTGAATCGCGTATTAATCGATTGATTTGTTTAAAAACCTTCTTATAAAACTTTCCAAGTTATTTTAGCTGATATAAAGTCGTTTTAATCGATTGAAAATCTGCACATATATTTTCAAGTCATTTTAATCGATTGAAAGTTCGTTTTAATCGATTGAAAAGATTTTCTAAGTTATTTTAATCGATTGAAATACGTTTTAATCGATTGAAACAGATCTGATCGGTCATAATTCAATTCTGATCGATCATATCCAACTCTGATCGGTCATAATCTCATTCTGATCGATCATCCTGACATCCAAAGTGATTTTAATCGATTGAAACGTGTTTTAATCGATTAAAATAATTCTGATCGCTCATATTTAAGATCTGATCGATTATATTGCATTCTGACCTATTATATTCGAATTCTAATCGGTCATAAAGAGTTTTAATCGATTAAAAGAAGTTTGTATCGATTAAAATATTGTAAAAACACTTTTTAAGACATTCTAAGTGTTTTAAATTGATTCTTTCAAACCTGTATCAGTTAATAACTTGTTTAAGAAAATTCTTTGCCAAAATGCTTTTGTTTTTTATTTGTTAAAAACTGTTTTTGAGGCATTTTGCAAGATGAGTGAAGAAGCTTTATGCAGTGGAAAAGGTAAAGTGGTTTTACCTAAGCTTTCTGTTAAGACACACTAAGTCTTCAGCTCCTTTGTTCTGAGTGACTTGTTTGACAGCTGCAGAGTTGACCCTTGACTTTATTTTTGACTTCATCAAATCAATGAGATCTTTGCTAGGATCACTTTCACCTTTATTGCAATAATTTCCATTTATCATTATGTGCTTTGGTTTCTCACCGAAGTGATCTTTTGTAGGTGCTCAGCAGTCAAGGATATAATGGTGCAGCAGCTGATGTTTGGTCCTGTGGGGTTATCCTATATGTTCTAATGGCGGGATATCTCCCTTTTGAGGAGGCAGACCTTCCAACACTGTACAGAAGGGTATTCTACCTTTCCATTATAATCTTGAAGTAGGATTTGAAAGAGCTAGAAAGAAGAGTGAAAAATATTGGTAGTGAATGCAATAGAAAAGACAATTGGGGCACCACTTTTAACTACTTTGGAGCTTTATTTACATTTTAAATCTTGAACTAATCTCAGTTACGGAAAATTAGTCTTTATTTAACCAGCTGTTAAGTTTTTGTTATTGAATTTTCATATTATTTGAACTTGTAGATCAATGCTGCGGAATATGTTTGCCCGTACTGGTTTTCTGAGGACACAAAGTCATTCATACATAAAATTCTAGATCCTAATCCTAAAACAGTGAGTACAATTTTTCATTTCTTTGAGATGTAATTTGTATAGCATCTAATACAGACTTACACGCATTGTGGTATGGTATGGTATGAAGTGTCCTTCTCAATGATTATCTTGACACATTTTTATAGTTACGAGCCTGTTTACTCCTATTAATTAATGCAAGTCTATGTATTGTGCTGTGAACAGGTATAACCATTTTCTTTGCATTTTTTGTTTTTCTTTTTTCGTTTTCTTTTTTAAGGAAAATATAATCGCAAATAGTCAAAATATAGACAAAGAACAATGTTCTTCTCATTAAAGGATGTCACAGTCTGTTATGGTCCTTTTTTCAGTTTTCTGGTATTTTTATGCTTCTGTAAGGATTCATGTTTTTTGCTTACAATAATATCAATGCATTTTCTTATTTATGGATTTTTTTCCTACTAGTTGTAGAAGCATTTGCCCTTATTTTGGAAATTTTACCCGATTATTGGCAAATAATTGTGAATTAAATAGATTATTCTTAATTAATTTCAATTTAATTATGTAAGTGCAGCGGGTGAAAATTGAAGAAATAAGGAAAGATCCATGGTTCCAGAAAAACTATGTTCCTGTCAAACTCGGGGAAGATGTGCAAGTGAATTTGGATGATGTTCGGGCTGTTTTTGATGATATTGAGGTTTGCTGTTTTTGTTCTGTTCTATTTATACAGACAATTTAATTTTGCAACTGTATGTGTTAACCCTTGCATATCCATAGCTGCAAACACATTGTGAGTGTACAATATGTTATGCTAGTTATCCAATAGTCATGTGTTTTTATTCACTGATCTGGGATGGTTGGCACTTTTGCCTTTTTACAGGATCAATATGTTGCTGAGCGGTCTGAAATTACTGATGGAGGTCCTTTGATAATGAATGCATTTGAGATGATTGCCTTATCACAAGGGTTGAATCTGTCGCCACTGTTTGATAGGCATCAGGTATTCTTTTAATTTCATACCCTGTCCTACAATCTATTGGTTCCTTTATGTTTCTGGCTGCCATGTAATATTTTATACTTCCACCTGCTTAGGTGGGCATTAGAGGACATCGGATTTCAAGTTTGAAATGAAGTGGTGCTAGTTGGCCTAGAGTCATATTTTTTCGAGGTTGTCTAATGCATTGCCTCAATTGATATCCTTTTGCTGTTCTGACAGGATTATGTAAAGCGGCAAACTCGATTTGTCTCCCGGAAACCAGCACAAGTTATAATTTCTTCTGTTGAAGCTATTGCAGAGTCAATGGGACTTAAGGTCCATTCTCGCAATTACAAGGTATAACTACTTTACGTCATAATGTTGAATGGATAATCCATTGGCTCAAGATGCTTTACTTCTGTGATGTACCGGGCATTTTTTACATAACTATAATCAGATGTACTTTCATTTTGTTACTATTGTCCGTCAGATATCAATGCAATCTTTGTTGTTTGTAACTTCTGCTGCTCCATTTAGCTATTCTTAAATTAGTCTGCAATGTCGATCATGTCATACTATCTAATTTAAATTATTGTTTCAATAACAATACATCCCTAAGTAGGGATTGTTAATTCAAAACACGTGATTGTCTGGTTCTTTAATTTTATGACCAGGTAGAGATTTTTGTGCTTGATTTACGTATGGTCATACATCTCTCGCATTTACTTTCTTTTCCTATTGTTTACCTAAAAGTAATTTTCTTGTAGGTGAGGCTTGAAGGTGTTTCTGCAAACAAGGTTGGGCAATTTGCCGTGGTCTTGGAGGTAGTTTATTTTTGCCGTTATCTTCGTCGTGCTTATTATTTTTATGTGAAATTTTTATTTCTACTGTAGTCATGGTTAAAATCATTGTTTTTTATTGAAAGGTGTTTGAAGTCGCACCATCCCTTTTCATGGTTGATGTTCGGAAGGCAGCTGGGGATACTTTTGACTACCACAAGGTTAGCTTCAGTATCTACACTTAATCTTCATTTTGGTTTCTCAAATGCTTTCAAATTATGCCTTGGAGAAGTACTATGCACAGTTGTACATACAAACATGTAGAGTGACATCTTTTTTGCTTGTCAATATTTCCTAGTCTAACTTGGGTAAAAGAGAGGGAAAACACTCATTAAGAATAACCATTTGTTCTGTACACAACAAATTTAATGGTTTATATTTTTTTTTTCCCCTCTTAGGAAGTCAGGTTCCTCCCATGTTTTAATTTTTAATTCTTAAGTTGATCTAATTACTGGTAGTTGGATAATGACTTTTTGTCAGTCAGCAATTACAAAAAAAAAAAAAAAAAAAAAAAAAAAAAAGCTCCTTGGTATAGCCATATGGTGAACTCAGCTAATTTAGGCATAGTGCAGACTGATATTGGTTGTGCGTTAATCAACACTGTCATAGATTGAGTGTATTTCTGAACTCCAATGTTGGGTTTGATGTTGTTGATGTCCAACGGTACTGGAATTGAGATGAGTAGATCATACGCTTATCATTATTGATTTTCTGGTTTTGTAAAGTTTTATTGCTATTTGATGTTATGTGTTATCTTTCCTTATCCACGTTATTTATGATTGACTTGATTGTGTTACACTGAGATCAGAGGAACTCTGGGTTATATTATGTGACCATGAGTTTTACTCACTGCATCATGGAATGCTACATTTGATAATTATTCTCCGTTTAATAGTGCCCATCAAACCTTCCAACTACCTTTATATAAGAAATAAAATGGCATCCATGCTTAGAAGTTGAGAAGTGATTGAATGTATATTAAAGGAGATGATCAGCTGGGAGTCGTTTCAATAGAAATCTAAAGAAAGAACAGGAAAAATAAGTACTTACCGTTGAAAAGATGGTGAGTCTGGTCGTATCTGTTAAAAACAGAAAAAAGCGTAAAAGGTAGAAGAGAGGAGCAAAACTAGTCTCTTGATATATTAAATTTACAATTCGATTTTGCAAAGTTTGTAATTTTACAGCGAGAACTTAAATAGAAAAGCTATGAAACTCCTAATTGGACACAACAAACAACAAATTATGGTTAAGCTTATCTATCATGAATCAACACCCACAATTAGTTTCTGAACATAATCAAGCATTAACCAAGCATACAAGCAAAACAAAAAACTGCAGAAACATTAAATAATAGCTGAAAAATCTCAATTGCCACTCCTCTTTGAGATTTTATCGTCAATAATTCAAGGTCTTACATCATTCCCACATCTGGTGGGTTACCTTCAAGTGTATGAACATGTATATCCTTTTGCTTAACAACATTTGTATGACCTGGATCAAGAATACTTTTAATATTCTTAAACAATTTTTTATCCTAAAAAAACCTTAGCTTTTGGTATTAGATGAGCCATGATAGTTGTAGCACTGATATCAACATTGCACGCCACTGAAAATTGACTTGATAAGAAGAAATATGATAATCCCAACAAAAAATTTCAAATTAAAAGATTTTCCTCCTATATTTGCCAAAGCGATGACCATACAACTTCCATGACCCATAAAATTATTCAACATAAATCTTAAATTTCAAACATTTGGTACAAGAAATAATTCTTAGCATTTGTCCCACACTTATCAAACTTTGACTTATATTATACATGAATAAAACATCTGAAATATATTTTGTATATGTTGGAGTTTCAACCGCAACAACTCCTTTTTCTCTTCATATCAACACTTTCTTCATTGCCAATGTGACTTTAGAGAAGTATGACTAATTCTGCTCTTTAAAAATGCAAGCATTGTGGGCCATATGATTTATGCACCCAGTGTCTATAAGCCACACCTCTTTGTTATTACTCGTTAAACAACAAAGTGCAGCAAATGAATGTTCCTCAAATTGTTCTTCATTCTTAACAACTTGGGCTTGTTATACCCGTTCATTTGTTTTGTTTTTACAAACTGTCTCCACATGACAAATTGATTACATGCCCTACATTTAATGCTTGGCCTAAACCAGCCAAAATTTTCAGTATGGTTATTTTTCTTACAATGGGGACAGGGTGGGAACTTTCCCATCTTCCTACTTTGCTTTCTTCAATTTTTCCCCCCAATGACTTTTTTTTTTTTTTTTCTGAATTGTTCGACCATTTAGCTTTGCCTTTGATTCGTTCCAAAGAGTATCGGCAATATTTTCTCCCATTCTTCAAAACATTCTCTGTTCAGTAGCTTGTAAGACATTAACAAGCTCTGCAAATTCTTATCTTCTTCTAAAGAAGATATTTTTTACTCAAACCTCTATGAACGACACCCCAAAATTTTTTCTAAACCTATTGGTCGGAAAGTTGCTCACCAAACAATCTTATTTGTGTAAACCACGTTAGAAGGTTTTTCTGAAAATCTTTAATAGATTCAGTTTAGTTCATTTTTATAGCTTACTCTCCTCTCAAGTGTTGAACTTGCATTCTCTTTTGTTTTTTCACTCTCTTGCAATTCCTCTTGCGGCTTTACCCACGTCTCTTTCGCAGTTTCAAGAGTCAGAATCTTGGTAAATACATAATGAAGTTTTGCATGTATAATGGCAAGTGCTTTGCCTTCATTTTCTATTTCACCATTATGACTCCTAATTTGAACTAGTGTTGGGTTTATTGGTAATGGGGTTGAATTGCTTTCATTTTCCATTATATCCCACAAACTTCGAGGTCTAAGATAAGTCCTCATCTTTGCAGCCCACAAATGATAGTTTTCTCCTGAAAATATAGAAGGTGGAGGTAAAGAACTATCGTTGAAAGATATTTTTGTGTTTTTTTTTTTGGGTTTTATTGTTTTTTTTCTCACTCTGTATTGGATTTTGTCTCCCTCAGGGGCCCTTAACGATCAATCCATGAAGTTCTTGATACATGTTAATTTAGAACATAATATAAAAGAGGTACAAGAGAGGAGTAAACTGATCTCTAGATATATTAATTTGGCACTTGGATTTTGTACGCTTTGTAATTTTACAGCAAGAACTTAAACGGAAAAACTATGGAATTCCTTGTTGGGCACAATAAATTATGGTTAAGCTAAAAGGAGCCATTACGAGTCTGTACCTATAACTAATTTTTTTCCGAACACAAACAAACTTCAATCAAATTTACAAGTGAAATTAAAAACTGCAGAAACATTTAATGATAATTGAAAAATTAAAATAGTTAAAGAAGGTAAGATAAAAATAATTAAGTAAAAGAGAGGGTAAAAGGAGTGTATAAAATTAGTAAGAATAAAAAAAATAGAAAAAAGAAGCTACCAACCTATAAGCTACAGACCAGCTAAGGCCGTGTTTGAATACACCTTGGACTCCGTTAAACATGAAGGACTCCAGATTCTTGGATTCACGTTGGAAGTGTTTCAGAAATGAGGATTTAAACAAAAAAACAAACATGCTATGTTCACAAATTTTAAGTTTTAATCTAGTTAAATAAGTTTGTTTATATAACATTTTAGTTTAATATAATAAACTTGTAAGCTAGTTTCTAGCTTACTACATGGCAAAATCACTTGCTTTATTCTATTGTGCTGCCCAACGTCTAATCCTATTTCCAGGAGGCCTGTATTTTAATTTCCGCTTCTCACGTCTGTATGTGTGTCTATAAGCATTTGTTAATGCAGCGTAATATTTACATTATATTTGCATGCGTATAAACTGATTGTAACATATATCTGTTCTTGTGCAGTTTTACAAGAATTTTTGTACCAAACTCGGAAGCATTATTTGGAGATCGGCAGGGAGCATGTCAAATTCTAATATGCTTAAGCATATGACTGTATAATCCAATTCCTGAGGAAATGAATGATGCAAATCTAATTAGAAGTGCACTGAGAGCTTCAGCTGGTCCCCGGGTATATTAAAAGATGGCATGCTTTCCTGCTATCATAATGCAACGTTTGCTGCATGAATACTATTCTGAACGGGTGTCGCTGTCGACTTACAACATGGCTTGGCTTAATAATCACCAGGGAGGAAGGAAAAAGCCTATTGCAATTCATCCTGTAATAAATCTACCCCACAATGGTTTACAAAAACCATCCACTTTTTGGTTCTGCAAGAAATGTATAAGTATAGACACAAAAGAAACAATGATCCTGCTGTTTTCCATCCACAGTTCTGTCTGTAATAATCGTGTTTGGGAGATCTATTTATCTTCCCAAACGCCTTTGTTTCAGACATGCTGATCTGTACAAATAAATAAGCGTCTTTGATTAAGTCTGTTACATCTGAAAACATAATTTTCTGACTGAAATTTTTATGCTCAGTTTTATCATAACCTTGTTTTTAAGTTAATTCTTAAAAATACAAATTAGTTTACTCAATTCAATTTCAGTTAGTTTTTTATCCAACCCCAAAATTACCGATTTTATTTATGCCATTGTTTGGAGTCATATTATAGATAAATATTTTCAACTATTGGAGTAGCAGTGCATAGTGTCCGCGTTACCATTTGTGGCATCGGTATCCAGTACATCAACTCTGCTTATATAGACCAATTGGGACATGCGATAATCAGTTAATAATTGATCCCATCTTCAAACGACATTGATAATTTTAATCAGAATTTGATTGGAAAAAACATTAAAATCATATTTCAGAACTCAAGTGGAGCTATATTACATAGCACTACATGGCCTTTTATGAAAACTAATCCATGGAAAAAAAATTGAAATATAATGAATAAGAGTACATTAATAATTATATTATACTAATGTAACTTTTATCGTATAAATATTTACTACCTTGAAAGTCACTTATTTTAATTTGGTTATATATTAAATTCAGCATAGTTTAAAAAATTATGATGGTGACAATATCATCACAAAATAAGTTGTGTAAAGTGGACTTAAAGAAATAAAAAAATAAATTAATTCGTAAATAATATTTTATTTTGTAATCACACTGCTTAATTAATATTTATATAATTACAAATATTCAAGAAAATAAACACAAACAATATATACATACATTCTTTCATGCATGCAATAGTAACTCCACTTAATTGACTTCATAAAACTTATATTTTTATCACTTACTTCATAAACTTATATTAAAGCATCTGCTGTTTACCCTTTTTTTTCCAACTCATTAGTCTTCTCTGGGAATAAATATATTTTTGCTCCTTTGCTAAAGTCTTTAAAGCTCCTAAACCGGATAAGATTCTTTTGTAGAGAGAATTATTTCCGCTTTGGTCTAGACATTAATATAATTTCTTTTTGTTCTCAAATTTTCAATCTCCTATTCTTTTTCTTTCAAAAAAATTATATCCTGTTTAATAAATTTATTTTACTCATATAATCTATCTGTAAATTTTCTATCTAACTTGTCTATCGAGTTTTATTTTATTTATCTATTAAATTTCTTCAAATATCAAACAATTTATATGATCTTTACTTTTTAAGAAATACATACATGGTTAATAAATAAATAAGCCAAAAAGCAATAATGGAATATATTGGAAAATTACAAAAAACTAAAATTTATCTATTGAAAAATTTATAACAAAATACCAAATTACGGGATATAGAGGAACTTTTTTAAAAACTTATTATCAATAGTCGATAAATTTTATGAAGAGAGAAAACATTTTTTTTCCTTGATTAAACTAAGTTTTTAGCTTTCTACCATAAAACAGAAAGGATGATTTTGGCTAATCCACGTCCACACAAATCTCGTAGTTGTCTGTCGGAATTTCGTAAGTCCTCACTGCCAAGGCTCACACTTGTCGAACCTACACCTATGGCTTCAAAATTCTTTATCCTCCCTTTAACTTTTCTTATTTAAAAATGTTTTCTTTTTTTAAAACCGACTAAACACATGAAAAAAAGAAGAAGTTTTTTTATAACTTCTTTTGGCAACTACGCAAAAGTTCTTCGAGGTTTAAAAATTTTTCAGAGACGAACGGTTTGTATATGCAATTATGCAACAATATATGTCATTGTGTAAGATATCTTCACCAACATGTTTTTGTTTACATTCTTCATACGATGTACCCTTTCTTTCGTAAGGTGTCATGCTGCTTCTTTCTCACTCATCTTTGATTCATTTTGACCCAATTAATGCTGGCAAAGTTCTGCAGAGGGGCCAACCTTGTTTTGTTGCTCAACCACACACCAAGGGGGTCTCCTTAGTACATTCATCTTTTAGCATGTCAGGGTTTCCCTTGTTCTCTTGGGGTTAAAAAAACAAACTATTTATCTATGAAATTACAAAAACCACATCACCAAAGTTTGAACAAAGAATCAAGAAAGAAACTTATACAAATATAGTTAAGTTAATATGGGGGTTGATTGAAGGTTGATAATTTCAATTAGTTCATACTACAGAGTACAGACGAAGTACACTGAAAATTGTTCAAGCATAAACTATAGGTATGCCACTATGGTGTTTACTCAAAAAAGCTTTCATGATCAACTTAATTTCAGGGCTGAAAGAACTTGTTACCGCATTTGCATTTCCAAGAGAGAAGATAATAGCCCTCGTCTCTTTGAGCTGTTGTTGCCTTGTGATTGTGACTAACCCTGTGGTGAGGAGAGATTACTAGAGCAGCCATGCAAGGCTTGCAACTCAAGCACTTGTTGACACACTTTGGAGGCCTTGACCCCAATACTAACTTCTTTTGCTTCATACCCTTCCCATCTTTCGTTGGACCAGACCCTACTGTTCACAAGTCAAGTCAAGAACATAATTAGGTTAACCACACCAAGTAATGAAATGACACAGGTAATTAAACCACAGAAAAATTCCATCATGTTGTTGACTTGGAAATATTTGGACACTCATGATGGTATGTATTTTTTACCTGTATTAGAAGGAAATAAGGTGAGGGAAATAATGAGAATCAGAGTCACAGAAGTTTTTAGTCCACTGATGTATACTTTTGGAGAATCCATCAGTCTTGTAAAAGAAAAAAAGTAATGATCAGCAGAGAAGTTAGAAGATGGGATTGTGGGAGAAAGAAATGGGAGGAATGGGTTGTGCAATGATATTAGCGATGAAAAGGGGGTTGGTACTGAATGTGGTATCATTGATACTGATATGTATGAAAAATTGAAGGGTCCCAAAAAGAAGAGTTTGGTATTTGAAGTGTTTTTAAGGGCAACAGGTGCTCTGACTCAAGGTTTTCAGTATGAATGACCGAAGTCACAGTTTCTTTTCATCTTTTGCTGGCTGAATTGACTACCCTATGCTAACTTTTGAAATTATTGAAGTACTACACCATCTTTCCTTTGTCATCATATAGGGAGTGGCCATGAGTTTTTGGTCATTTGCACTTGGCTCTGCTCCTCAATAATACTATTACTAATACTATTATATGTTCCTCTACACAGTGTTTGCCTCTACACAACAAACAAATGCAGGTCAGGTCATGAAATCAATTCAAATTACCCTCCATTCCATTAGGGACCACTTCATTCAATGAAAGCCTCAACCCCATACTAGTTACTATTTTTATTCTCTTTCACGCTGCTGAAAATATGAACACTTTCACTTGAAGCCACTGTTCTCAATGACTTCAACTGAGAAATCAGATTCAGAAGTAGGAACATAATATAATTGCCCAAGAATGTAAAGTGACTGACTGAAAGGAACATAAATCTTGCGGTTCTCTCCATATAGATTTTCTTGCTTTCGTAAAGAAGAAACTCAACCTGGTTAATCATACAAACATTAAATTATAGCTGAATTTTGCTATCAACTTATATAAAAGCCAGTAAATAAAAAATTCATAACTCGTAAAGTAATCAAGTTAACTCAGTAGTCATAAGCTTTTGGGTTTTCTGCAAAATTGCAATTCATCTTAAAATCATCACCTCGCATTGTTTATAGACATTGAACGATAACTAATTTGACCTGTCACTTATTATCAATATACAAAATGTTCAAGCAACATCTTCTTTCTTCTTTTTTATTTTAGGAGCCACACAAGGTTAATTAAAAGAGTAAAAAATAAGGCATAGTTAAATAGGTATATGAAATGAGTAAAATAAATTTCACCTTGACCATTTTTACATTCTGAAGAAGTCAATAAACTCAGAAAATAATATTCTGATTAACAAAAATCGGAAGATTAATCCAAACTACTTCAAACCTGAATATTGTTTTCTTAATTTCTAAGAATTTTTACTACAACACAAATATAGATAGATACAGAAAGTTATAGTGTAGGCTTACAAGGTACAGATATCTCACTCAATGACAATTGATTGTGTTGGTCACAGATTAGATACCACTTCAAAATAAACTGATAACAACCAACTTCAAGGGTGTAACAGGATAGAAAAGAGAGAGTCAATTCACAGAACAAAGTTTGAGTTGAGTTGAGTGAATGATATATATATATATATATATATATATATATATATATATATATATATATATATATATATATATATATATATATATGTATATATTATTTGAAGATGGATGACAACCTTTGGCAGAGACATGTAATGAATGAAGTACTACTGCTATAGCTATTGCTATCTTGCTATATCTCTTTGATATGCATGAGATAAGAGATTCCACTGAGTTGAAGGACCAGTGAAGTGGTGTCGTTTCAATGTTCTTTTGTGTGCCACTCACAATATCTGCTGAATGCTACTAATTTTCTAGGTTATCGAAAGGACAACCCTACTTTCAACCTCAAACTTGCATGCATCTCTTTTCTTTCTCATTATTTTACTTTTTTGGTTTGAGAATACAATTATTCTTTTTCTAGAGATACTCTTATTTAAATCAAATACAATTATCACCAACAATAAAATTTATTCTTTGAAAGATTCATATCCAAAATCAATAATTAAACGGAAATGATTAATCATGTTTGGTAGTCCTTTCTCATTATTTTACATATTCTCGTCTAAAATAAAATTCATTAAAGCACGTTCCTCGTAAACATTCATGCAAAATCTGATACTAATTTCTTAAATACTTTTTTTTATCAGATTTCTATTTAGTTTCAGTTGTAACATTATTGTTATTATCCCTTAATAATTTTATGCAAATATTCTCTGGTAGAATTAATCAGCTAGGCAATTTTATTAGAAGAGAATAGACATGATTAAACTATAGAAGAAATAAGTATAACAAAATAAAAAATAAAATAAACATTTAATTGTTTGGTAAAATAGAAATAAGCATTTTTTTTTTTAGTTTGGAACGTTTTTGGAATGAAATAGAGCTTTTTGATAAATCTAACTTTGGAAAGAACTTTACACTGAACTGATGGGGAATAATAATTAAATGAAGGTGGATCTACTTTATTAAAAAAAGGTAGATAAGAATAACGAAAATATAAAGTAAACCATTAAAAAGAGTATCAGTTAAAGTGATAATGATACGTATAATGATATATAATAATTATTTTTAATAGAATTTATTATAAAAAAATCATTTTTTTTAAATTAGAGTTATTATTCTAAACTATTATATTAATAAAAAATAGGATAGAAAATAATTTTTAATTTGTAATTTTGAAAAGAATAGATCTCTCTTCAAATAAATTCTAACTCTAATTCTTCATCGTTTTCGAACAATCAAATTTTAATATAATATAAAATAAAGAAAAAAATATTTTGAAAGAGGTATAATTTAATTTAAAAAAAAAATACAAAAAGATAGATAAATATAAATAGGTAAAAAATAGTTGGATAAGTTTGACTATTTTTTAAAATTATTTTTTCTTTTCTTATTTTTTTTTATCAAACATTAATCATTTTCCTTCTCTCTTTCTCCCTCCATCTTAACAAAGGATGGTTCAAAAGATTTCTCTGTGGTCCAAAATTCTTTTAATATTTTCTGTGTTAAATTTTTGAAAATAAAAACTGTAAAAAACAAATAGATTCAATGCATGAATGAAAGTTAGAAAAATGTTATAAAGAAAAAATTAAAGCAAAATTCTAAATAAAATATTACAATAACAAGACCAATTGATCCTTATGCGTTCTTTATCAGCCACAGATCATAATGCTTAATCGAGTATCTTTTACTTTTGAAGTCACGTTCTTAAAGTGATAATGAAAAAACACCATTTGGTGAAGATATCAAAACATTGATATGTGCTGATTAGATTAGTGGCTTTTGGTGTTTATACTTCAGAGTATCATTAATTTTTAAATAATCATTTTTAAACAAATAATATTATCGTTACTGTTTAAAAAACAATAAAGAAATCTAACTAATAACACTCATTATATATTTAAGCAAAACCTATTAACATTTTGTAATATATTTTATGTGTGATGCGTAAAGTCTCTTGACAGTTTAAATATCTTTTAATTTTATATTAAACATGAGTCAAAGTCTAACTTATATATTATTAATTAATTTTATATTATAAATTAATTTTATATTAAAACATACATTAAAATATATTTAAAAAAGTTATTAATAAGAATTATTTAAAAATAAAAATAAATATTTTATTATAAATCTCACGTATTAATTATTTAAAAAAAGTTATTTAAATTAAATAAATTTTAAATCATTCATATTTCATATTCATAATAAAATATTTAATTTTATTATTAAACAATTTTTAAAATTTATTATTAAGACGAGGAAGATTAGGTTATTTTATTCTCCAAATGGAGACATCACTTCCAGGTTCATCATCATACTCACCCATGGTGGTGGGTGGAAACACAAATTTTTTACATCTTATCCTGTGGAAACACAAACTTTTATATATGACATTCAGTAATAATTTGTTTTAGTTTTATTTTTTCTTAAATCTACTTTTTTGTTTTTATAATATTTAAATGTGTAATTTTTATCATATTAGAATTTAATTATTTATTTTATCTTTCAGTTTTGTTAAATTAGAAAAAAAATTATCCGCAGTTGATATGTTTTATATAAAATATATAAATTGATAATCCTAAATTAAGTAATATGTTTATAGTATATCCAATTCGAATTAAGTTTATATGAGTTCATGAATTTCAAATTCAATGACTTCGATCTCACTCTACTATAATAACTATAAAATAAAAATATTATATTTTAATAACTTTATGATAAAAAACAATTTGATTTTATTATATGAATATATGTAGATATATTAGTATTTTCATTATTTTATAATAATTAATAAGTATGAAAAATATTTACTTTAAGAAATTTTTTTCTTAATAATTAGATTATTCAATCCAATAAAATTATTCCAATCATCATTATAACTTGATTATTTATATTCTTCATGATTTCATTTGTCTAGTGGACAACTTTTAAAAAGATCCAATTGAGTTATGGATATGTATTGAGTTTTAGGCCATAATTATCCAGAATAAGTGTCAAAGTAGAGTATCTATAATTTCAAGTAAATTATTTAGACCAATAGAGGGAAACATTATCCAATCTTGTTGCAGTTTGCATTATAAATCATTAAATGACAATGTTCCAGTCATTACTTGTGTGTTTGCAAACTATTATCACATTACATTACACAATACTCTTCATCCTACTTTTAATTTCTAATTTATTGTTAAATCTATGAATCACATACAAAAATCTAATTTTACTTTAATGAAACTTAATATAAAATTTACTTGATGAAGAAAGTTTCATTAAAAAAAGAAAACGTCCAAAAATATGTTGTAATTTTTTTTTCTTACTATAGCCCACCAGCCAAACACTCTTCTACATGCAGGGTAAAATATACAATAAGTTAAATATTGTGATTAAGTAATGGAAAAATTGCACTTATTTTACTTTCTTAATTTATATTAAATGAATTTCTCTCTAATTTTATTAAAAAAATATCAAAATGATAAGAAGTGGGAATGTTATTTTATTACAAATATAAGAAGATAAATGCACATTTTGAAACTAGAAAAAGAAAGTAAGCATTATCATAACACATCATATCGTATAAGTGAAAATACTCCCTAACCAAACTCATCTCTAGTTTAGACACGACAAAACTTGTTCTATTTTTCACTTTTAGAGAGTAATTCTTAGACCACATATTCATGCATGATGCATAATGATTTATGATCTATAGTTGAGAACTTAAAACATGGTGAATATATTTTATAAAGAAAGAAGCGAAGAGGTGTCAGCATTGAGGCAGATGGCAAAGGGCAAAGCGATTGAAATAGTAGCCATGGCCCCTGGTAATGGGAAGGCACAGAGACAGAGAGAGTGAAGGTAAATTGTGATAGGAAAAGTCCAATGCTGGTGCAGTAGGTCCCTTGTCTTTGCTTGCTCTTCTTGCCTATTCTGAGTAGGACAAAGTGAGGAAAAGACTATGAGCAGTGGTACCAGATCACATAACAGTTCCTCTACAAACTATCCTTTTCTTTTCTCACACACCAACTTCCTTCCATATCTTCCCACTTTACACCCCACACCAAACAAAGTTCATGCATGTATCTTCTTTGTACAATGATTTTCCCTCTCCTTCCACAAATAGAAACATCCTCTCTCTATCAATCTCAATGGTGCACCTTGATTGGTCCTTTTTCTTTTGACCCTTTTAACCATTGCCATTCCATCAACGTATGGGCAATCCTCACCATTCCAAGTCCCAACAACACCTTACCACCCCATGCCATGACCATGCATGGAGCACTGATGCTTTTCTAGTCATAGAAAAAGTGGCATTATGGTGGCCTTAACTTAACAACCTTAACAAAGGCTTCTGCTTCACCTCACCCTCAACCAATTAATGTAATATTGCTCCATGTAAAGGGTCGTCAGCATTTATTTGAAGAATGAAAACATACATCACAAACATTGTTTCCATACCATCATTCCCTCTCATGGCTTTCCATTCGCAGCATATAACTACTAAACCAGATTTTCATTTTCTACCCTGAAGAAATAACTAATGCGGAATGTGACAATTGACATCCACAAAAGACCCATTACCTGATGAATATCTTCAGTTTAATGGTACAAAAACATTGTCATATTACAATATTTAATGATCTTGATCTTATTTGCTAGAACGTTCCCTTTTTTTCACTTTGGCTTAATTAAACTGAGGGAGGATACTACCACCAGGTAAAAGCCATTTAATGACAGATTACACAAATTTAACTCAGTAGTTATTTGATTTTTAGTTTGGGTTTGTTGCACTCATCTTTACTTTTCAATGCACTTATTATGCTAATTCGTGTCCCTATAAGGTGTATTTTATTTTGTATTAAGAAGCTTGAAAATGTTCATTTCAAGGATACTACACTTATGAATTGAGTAGAACTTGATATGGAATAATAAGTGTGAACTTGATGATACAATACTCATAGGTGTGCCTCAATGTGCATCGAAACGTTTAAATTTTTGGTACCTTCCATTGAACATAAATTAATTAACTTTTGGTTCCTTCCTCTGAACATAAAACCTTGGTGACAGTAGAACTCCCGTTTCAACATGCACTAGAAAGAGAAAAACATAACGTGTTTAAATTCTTATATATTTCCTTCCGTGAATCCTCCATGAGAATAAAATTCCCATTCAACATGCATCAAAAAGTGACAATATGCTATCGTAAAAAACACTTAAACAAAATATGCTCACCGTAGTTGGCGTTTAAGTGAAGTGAATGGAATTAAAACACAGGCTAAATCAACCCCATTTATTAAGGTAGCATATAAATTGTAACATCATTTGCAGATAAAATATATTTTAAAACAAATAATGTCATTATATTTCCATAAAATAGTATTAATGAAATAAAAGTTATCATTAGTACGTGATTATAAAAAAAGTTAAATACATAAATTATATGACGCTATACTGAACGAAACCATCAGAAGAATAACTCAAGTTCATCTAACTGCAGAACATGTTATCTAAATCCTAAAGGTGAAATATGTCAAAAGTAATCAACTTTTTAGATCAAAGCAGGTTACGAGTTTTAAACAACCCTACCTACTATCTTCTCTGTCATACAAATTCACTTCACCCGTCTAAGATTCCATTATTCCACACACAAAAAAGGAAACAACATCGGTGCAACTGAAAATTACATTTTTATTATTGAAGATAAGCAAGTGGTCTGCTGAGTACAATTCAAAAGCAAGAGAAGCCTACAAAAACAAGGACTTGATTTAAAGGGAAGAAAAAAAACGATAAATAAAACAACCCTGAAGATGGGGTTGTTGTGGCGGACAAAATGGACTCCCTGCCACCACCAAAGCCCTTGAATATGAGGCACCTAGCCTTATAATTGCACAACATAACCACACTGATAAGACTAAAGGAAACCAAGTTAAGCCTCTCTTCCACACTTAGGGCATGGTTAAGATGCTTCATTGGTATAAACTAAACTGCCAGAAGATTTCAAAGGACATGAACTAAAGCTCAAGTCTAGGCAACATCATAGCAAATGCGCGACAGAAGCTAAAACATGTTTTTTATTGTCAACATCCAGCGGTACAAAATAAGATTTAGCATAAGCATGCACTATCTAGCAGTGGACACCATCAACCAAGACTTAGTAAACTGTAATCTCAGGGGACCCTATCCATGAAAGAAGTAGCCTCCAGGAAAGCCAAGGCCAAAACGGTTGTTGTAAGTTGGAACAAGCATTTCATGCTTGTGAAAAAATGGGTCATGAAGGAACAGGACAAAGTTCCCCGGAAAACAACCAAGTCACCAAACTGCCACCAATCCACCCTTGACAGGCATATCAGCCAAAATCTGTGCTGAGTGCTGAATGTGACCTGTACAGTGCTATCTCCCTCTCTGATTAAATCAGAATATCACATCTCCACAACTTTTCCACTAGAAACTCCATTGTACTACTGCTCAGTGAATTGCAGTTTTGAATATTTAATCCCATCAAGGTCTGGCCCAATTTGGTCAGGAAAGGCACACACTTGTTTGATACATCAGAGCAACCAGACAAGGAAAGCACTTGCAAGCTAAGCAGACTGGCCCTGGAGAGAACAGCGACACCGGAATCAGTGATTGCACACTTTGACACATCTAGATCATTGAGCACTAGGCAGTTGTTTGCAATTGTAACCAAGCTTGCATCAGTAATTTTCATGCATCCATCCAGATTTAGTACTTCTAGTGTTCCACCATGTAGCCTGGCCAAGGCTGAAACTATGTTATCTGTCAAGTTCCAGCAACCAGCAAGGTTTACATTGACAAGTCCAGCCTCACAATTCTCCAGAAGGGGGAGAAGACCAGCATCAGTTATGCCATAGAGTCCAGAAAGATTAAGATGCTGAAGTTGGGGGCACAATTTTCCAATCATGGCCAGGCTAGAACTACCAAAACCAGGGCACTTCTGAATGGCTAAAGATCGAAGAGACTCGCAAGGAGAGAGCATAGATACTTCCATATCGATATCTTTAACTCCAGAGCACTTCACGAGGGTAAGAGATCTCAACTTCGTTTTGATGTTTGAAAGAGCGACAATAATCCCTGACTGAGTAAACCTGTTGCACTCCTCCAACTGCAAGCTCTCAAGAGAGACGGCAGTTTTGGAAAATGCTACCAATCCACTGTCAGTAACAAAGCAACACCTGCGAAGGTGCATCTGCTTCAGGTTGATGCAACCCTTACCAATGGCTTCTATGCTTGTGTCAGTTACCCCCCTGCATGAAGTAACAGTAAGTGACACCAGTTTCTGCAGACCTTGGGCAGCCCCCATGACCCAGAACCCCCTTTCAGTGACATTTTTGAGACCAGAGAGGACCAGATTTGTTATTGCCCTTCCATAATGGCAGATAACAGCCAGAGAGAAATCGGTAATGTTCAAGGCCTGAAGCTTAACCCTTGACAAATTGGAAGCCAAGGACAACAGATTAGAGACTCCATGATCCCCAACAAGAGGGCAATCCTTGATAGAGATTGACTGCAGCTTGGGGCATAACCTTGCAAGTGCTTGCAGGCCCTCATTTCCAATATTTGGGCATGATTCCAAATTTAAGGTGGTCATGTTGGGGCAGCCTTCAGCTATTGCAATCAAACCCTTGTTGCTGATTGAGGAACAATGAGACAAGTCAAGCTTCTCCAACATATGACATCCTTTTCCTATCTGAGACAGACCCTCATCCCCAATGGAAGATACATTCCACAAAGAAAGTGATCTGAGAGAAGGGCACCCATGAGCTACTGCAGAAAGGCCAACGTTTGTGACACCACGCACAGAATTGTTTCCTCTGATAGATAGCTTCCCTAGTCCCCCACGGGAACTAGTCCCAACTGCAATTGCAGCAAGCCTGACATCAGTCGCTTTCTTCCCATCCAGGCACCTTGTAAGGTAGCCATCATCTTCAATATCTTGATTCTCATCTGGAGAAACCTTTTCAGCAACAGACGAAGTAATCCTCTCAATCTCATCTTTGCAAATAGAGCTCATAAGCATAAGCCACCGTTTAGATACACAACCACATAAGCTTCTCTCTTTGCCACTAGGGAGCCGTCTGAATATCTCAAAGAGGCATTCATCCGGAAGAACCTCAATACCAGGCTCTTGATAATGTTGCTCACCCTCAATAGCTTCAAGGATGGAGCGAGATCGCTTGTTAGGAGGGTAGTACAAATCCAAATTGGAGCCAATAGTAGAGTACAAGCGACCCAATTCCATTGGAGTTGGGCAGAAAGAACCCCCAGGGTACAGTTCATCATCACCTGAGAAACCCATCCACGAAATCAAAGATCAGCCAACAAAACAACACTGTTCTACATTAAACACAACAGGATGTGCCACAACCAAAACTAAACATTCATCTCATATCACACAAGCTAGATTGATTTCAGCAGAATTACTTTCCTCATGCATGCTCATTCCACCAAAGAAAATGTAAAGGAAAAATATTTTCTTCAGAGAAAAAAAATGTTCAGTTATACAGACCTTCTTCTGATCAGTAGTAGATCAAAGCAATCTCTAAGAAAACAATTTCTAAGCATCCCGCACAACATCCATTAAAAAAAATGACTTTTTTTTATCAGGGTATTTTCCTATCCATTCAAATCACAAACCTCAAAAACCTATAAACAAATTCAATCAGCACATGCAGACCAAGATAACAATCAAAAAATGAAATTTCAAGAGCAAAAATGAAATTCAAGAGCAGATATGAGAGACACATGTAAAATCAAAAGAAAAAAGCTTGAAGCGTACCACTGTAATTGACAAGGGCAGGCATGAGCACAGAGGATGAGTAGACAAGCAAGAGAATCTGAGAGGCAGTCGGTGAAAGCCCTTAGGATCTGAGAGAGGAAGAAGAAGAAGAAGAAGAATGAAAGGGCAGATTATAGAGAAAGGGGTGTAGAGCATTTGAGAGTGTAAACCCCACGGAGCAGGGCAAAAAAGAGAAGAGGAAGAAGGAGGTTTGAAATAGATGAAGTCAGGTTTGGGGTCTGGGGGAATGTATGTATATATAAATGTGTCGTGAAGAAACAAAGTCTTATATTGGAAAAGGAAGAAAAAGATATAGGTGTCGTCCACAGACATCACCAAGCCACAGGTGCATTGCTACTGCACATTCAGTATGCAATGAATCCTTCCCCAAAACCGGCTATTCCCCACACACAATACATCTCTCTTAGTCCAACCAAACCAACCACCTCAGCATTTCTATGTAAATTCTAGTAATCCTAATACCATTTCCTAGAAACCAAAACCACGTACCCTTTCTCTCTCTCTCTCTCCTCTCTTTTTCATTTTTTTATTTAATCAAACTCTATATTAGTATTGCAACTGATGCGTGAACTTTGAGGAAGATACTACGGACGGTACATACATACACTAATATCACTCTGTCTTTTGCTTCTTATGTTGCCCCTACAACTATAATTAAATACCTTTTATGTCTGTTAGACCAAATAATACTATCATTAAAATACTATTTCATCTTTCACACCATATCACAAAAAATTAAATAAAACGCGTGCATGTGTTTGTTTCTTGTTTAATCATCCAAATTTATAAAATTAATAATACTAATAAACAAGATCTATAATCTGCTAACAACAGGTATTTGAAATTAACAAAGTTTACAGAATATGTTTATGTGGTATATACCGCCCAAAAACTAAGCGTATTCGCTCTTTTTCACAAAACTAGTTTTACCATTAAAATTACGAAGTTCGCATAACTGTAAAATTTTACCAAAATAAAACTAATCATAAATAGAACACGTGTTTTGAAAATGGAATTAAATGCAGAGTGGTTAGTTAAATGAGTAAACTGTTAAACTGATTAAATAGCTGATTTATAAAATCACCAAATCAATTTAAAGAAAAACTGGTCAAAAATAACCGATTGAATGGGTCAAATTATACAAAAAAAAAAACGGTTTAAAACAGATCAATTAAAAAAACTTAATGATATATTATCTTAACTTCAAAAAACAACAAAATTTTAAATACTTATTTATTTTATTTATACCCGTGAAATCAGACGTTAAAGTATCTACATGTTCACATTTTTTGTACATTATTTTTTTTTCATTTTTTAAAATTTTTCTGTTTTTCATTTTTTATTATTTTTATTATTTTTTAAATATATAATTATAATAACGATTTTTTTTAATTATAACAATTTTTTTCACTCTTCAATGACATTAGAAGAGCAAAAATAATCCCTTTTATATATAATTATAGTTATAAAAAATAATAAATATTATTAATTTTTTAATTCAAGTACTTTATTATCAATTTTATATAATCTTTTAGTATCATAAAATAATGATATTATATTTATTAATTAATTATTATAATAATTATATTAATACTAATTTAGTTATGATTGAAACCTTGAACTAAGTCTTTTTATTGATTCAATGATTATTCTAATTTTTTAAATATTGAATAGAATATATAAAATAAAAAAAATTATGCAAAACCTATCCTATTCATATATTGTTATATATTAAAATTATAATATACTCTTAAACCACTCGTACATTTTTCGCCATTTATTTTAACTTCGTAAAAGTTTTCCAAGTTACACTAAATTAATGGTTTTATTTTTTTTTATTAGAGAAAATAATAGTTTTATTGAGACACTTGTTTTGTTCTATGTGATAGAGTATACAAGATAAGGAATTGTGTAAGTCGTTCATACATATATGATTTTTATTGAAAATATATATTAAATAGCTCATATATATACTTAATTTTAAACGGTTTTCACATTGAAGATAAAATTTACAATAAATTGGGAAAAGTTTTAAGGTTACACAAAATTGTTTAGTATAAAGTTAATTTACGCTACTGAAGAGAAAAACTTCGGTAATAAGATAAAATGGATAAATAAAAATATCTATAACAAAGATAATTTGAAAAAAAAATTGTTTCTTATTTGTCAATTTTGTTTCTATTTCTTTTTTTTTCAATGAAAAATTATAATAAAAGTGTTGGAAGTGTTTATTGGGAAAAATAAATTATAATGAAAGTTGAATTGAAAAAATTTAATTCAACGCATTAAATGGAACAAAGAAGTTGTTAGTTAAATAGTTTTTCCATATCATTAAGCTAGATCTAACACAAATTAATTTCACACGACATAAATAATTTATATTTGATTTTGATAAAGTGATGAAAATAATGTTCACATTCAATGTTCAACAATGTTTTAAACAAGTTTCTTCCGAAAAAAAAAAGAGGCTTGTGAAAAAGTATATAAAATTTAAATAAAATATAAGAAATTAATCAAAGTATAAATCAACAAATGGTTTTACGACTTAAGTGGAATTTTTTAACAAATAAAATAAAGGATTAATCGTATACAGGTAACTAATTATTTGTAAATTAACGTATAAATAAAATAAAATTGAACTCGAAACAATAAAAGATGAAAAAAAAAAAAAAACTCACCTCTGAAGGCAATAAAGATATATGCACACTTTGTTCTTGAAAATCAAATGTTGAGGTGTGTTCACAGTTCTTCGTCAAAAGTTAAACCGAATGATTCAAGTTTTTTGTTTCGTTGGTGATTATTTTCTTCTTATGATGATTAAAACACATGGAGAGCAACCCATTATATAGGAGAAATAAAAAGATTGAAAAAGGTTTGAATCTGTTAACATGGGGCCTGTAAGAAAAGACGTTCAGAAATCATTATTTTTAGGAAAATATTAAATATATACATCTCATTATCATCACTTTTTTTTTATTATTATAATTCATCTCTCATTTTGGTAAAAAATAAAATTAGCCAATTATTTATTATCTATTTATCTAGGTTCAGATCAAATTATGTAATAATAATTGGTTGAAGAACCTGAATTTATATTTATAATAATGTTATGGAGGAAGCTTTTTAATTTGGTTAAAAAATATTTTCATATGATTATCTTCATCTTTATTTAATTTAACTCAAATATATATATATATATATATATATATATATATATATATATTATTTTGCATTTGTATACAATTATTATTATTATGTATAATCATTTCTAATATTCAAATGAATATTAAGATGCTTTTTTATATATTTTTTATACAAGTTAATGAATAAATTTAAAGAGATTTTAATGGGATGGTAGAGGACGTGAAATTAAACTAAGAGGATGTGATAAGTGATTTTAAGATGATTGAAAGGAATTTTATCTAAGGAAAATATAAAGTCAATTTTTATTAGTATCTTCTGTTAATCCACTTATATGATTAATAAAAAAATATATTGTATAACTCTTTTTATAAGAATAATGTTCAAAGAAATTATAAATACTTTTTTAAAAAGTTTGTAGAAAAAAAGTTAAAGTAGAAATTTTATCATACTCCTTTTATTTTTACGTTTGTGACTAAATATTAATTAATTATATCATTTACTAAAAATTAACAATATTTTCACCCATTCATTCTTATAAGTTTAGCAAATGCCATCTAAAGATGGTAAAATTTGTAAATAAGTTAAAATCGTAATTACTTAAATTATTATAATCTACATTTTTTTCATATTTATCATATAAGTAAAATATATTTTGTTGTTTGTAAATAATAAATAATTAATAAAATTTTAGATGTGGTGGTTTATAAATAATAAATAATTTTGAAGGTATTATTTAGTTATTATCTATAAAAATATTATATATTATTTTAATATTTTATGCATTAAAAATTGTATTAATTAAAAATATAATTAAATTATAATATATAAGTAAAGTGTAAATATTACAATAAAATTATTTAAAAAATATAAAATGAAAATTTATTATATCACAATATATTTAAATAAAATATTATTTATTTAATTTTAATATTTTTTAATAAATAAATAAAAACTTGTTTTCTCTACTCATTTAATTTATTTTGATATTTTTTGTTAATATGAACTACTCATATAAATTATTTATCATCTTAAAAATAATATAAAATATAAATTTATTATATCACATCAAAATTACACAACTCAACATTTAATTTATTTTAATAGATTTTTTTCATGATATTTTAAAAAAATTAGTATTTCTCTTAGTTTACTTTATTTTAATCACTTTTGTTTACACTCTCTTATTTTTTTGTTTATTTATTTATTTTTATAAGATATTTAATAATATAATTAACAAATATTTTATACAAACTTATCACACCCCTTATAATTTTACTTATATTCAAGCAAATCATGTTGTAGTTAAATTTTTTTAATAAATTGTTTGATGAAACAATCATCACAAATTTTCAAACGACTTATGTTATCATAAAAAAATTAAAAAATTGTTTCAAATAAAGAATGTTTCATGATTTAGAAATAATTAATAAACATTTTGATGTTATATATATATATATATATATATATATATATATATATATATATATATATTTTTAGAATATTATCAACTTTTTTTATATTTTATATCTCAATTTTATATCGATTTTATAGGATTAAATTAAATATTATTTATTTTGATAATAACTTTAAATTATACAAAAAAAGTTATTAAAAATAATAAGTAGATTAAAACTAACTTCTTAAAATGAATTATGGTGAAATTGGTTTGGAGTATTTGAGATTTAGTTTTGGTAGGTTTTGAAATTGAGATTTGATAAGAATGTTGTGTATTTGATGCAGTTTGTAAAATGTGAATAGACAGCTAGAAGCTTGAAAGGAAAGAGAGAATAAAAGTGGAAGTGCATCAATTTGAGTGTGTGATTAAATGTATTCAGCCGTTTTAACTAGAAAAGTGAATCGAAACCATCGCAGTTAGTTGCACTCAGACTCTGTGTGTTCCGACTATGCATTTATTTTTTTAAGTCACATTTTTAATTCACAAATTCATCCCCCCCACATCTCCCACCATTGCAAAATCATTTGCAACTTGTTACACTGCGAACCTATTTTTTCAATTTTTCATTCTTATTTGCTTATATTGCAAATTGTTGCACTGCAAAATAATATTTTATCAAATTTTTAAAAATATGAAAAGACAAAAATATACAGTAGATGTCTAATGTCTCATCCCTCCATATTGATAAAATGTCACTCTGAAAGCAAATATCCTTTCATATGTTTAGAATGCAATGCATTCATACCAAATATAGGTGGTGGATGGATCATTAACATTCATTAAATAATTCAAACCAGT